GGGGAAGAGAGAACACACACACCACCTGTGGGGGTGGGGAAGGGAACACACACAGCGAGAAAGTTTAGCCACGCAATGATTCTTAGTCTCTGTGTGTTTATTAATTAAATAATTAAAAACCCCAGCTAAAAATTTCACTTCTGTATCAAACTAAAGGATTTCACATTTTGGTGGAATTTAATATCCTTTTTAAAACATAATTTATTTGATTCACTGTTGGGAAACGGGGGAAGAAGATCACACGCAGGACATAGGGACACACACACACACACGCAACACTTTACAGGCGATGAAGAGGGGGACACACGAACACACACACCTGTTGATGGCAAACGTCGTAGTTCTTGTTGTTGTTGTTCTGTGCTGACGTTGGCTGTTGGGCGTAAAAATTTAAATTGCTAAAATTTGGCACAAATTGCGATGCGTTCTGCTCTGTATGGTTGTTGCCGTTGACACACGCGTTTGTCTGGAAATTTGGCGGGTTTTTTCTATTGTTGAGATGATGGCTATTGTTGCTGTGGCTGAGGAATATGGTCGCCTGTGTCGCCGCCGTCTGACCACCGTTTGTATAATTCGCGTGAACGGATATTGGGACTGGGACGGGACCGTCGTCAGCGTCGTTACTGTTGCGCGTCGAAAATGCTTTTGACGCGACGATCGCCGACGGAGTTTCTCGCGCACCGGCATTTTCGCGTCTCTCTATCTCTCCGTTGTACATGTAGCCGGTTTTGTTGTTGTTGCTGCTGCTGCTTCTGCTCTCCTCTTTGCTCTCCACTTCGTATCTTTCGTATTTTGTTTTCGTTTTGCTTTTAGGTGAAAATGCACGAGTTGGCAGCGCTCTTTCTTTTAACGTAAGAACGATAGATACCAGCGCCGTAAAGCATCGATGAATTATATATTATATATATACACGGTTTACCGTTCTGTGGAGTGGAGAATGTTCGTACATAAACAGGTTTTTTTTGACAACAAAAAATTCAAGTTCAGTGTGAGAGCGTAAGGGGTTTGCTTATCGCGGTATTTTCAGTATTTTGCAGTATTTTTATTAATTATTAAGAAGTATATTTTGGCTGTCTTAAGTTTAAGCTGTGAGCCGCAAAGTATGCATTGGTTAAGCCTTTGAACGAGCCTATGAATTTCCGTTATGAATTATGACTTATTGAATTTTCAAAATTTTTGATAATGTTTGTAGTAATAATAGTAATACCCGTATTAAGAGATTACTCAAACCAACAAAGTTTATTTTTCTAAAATACTGCAATAGTATATTTTACAATTTATGAAGTGCCCGACTTTTTGAATTTCCCGCCTCTTCTCTGCTTCTGTCAAACGGCTCTACAATTGATTTCTGTCAAAATTTGAAGAAGCTTCGTCGTATAGTTTGGGGATTCCTCGAAATTTGAGGAGAAAATGGAAAAGTTAATTCCCGTGTGCTCTTTTAGATATTACCAGTAAGCAGGTAGTACCTACTAGGTACTTATAAACTCGTAAATACATTTGTAACCCACAAAGTATTCATTTTATAAACCTTTTATAGAGATTATCAATTTAATAGATGTTTTAATAAATGTTTTGTTTTTTTTTTTTGTGAATAAATAGATCTTAGTCAAACATATCACTTCTTAAAACCGATTTTCTTAGCTTCTCCTTCATTTGTAAATAAGCGTTCGTTCTATTATTAGCACTTAAACCAATCCCTCAAACGTCCTGTCATTGACCCTTGTCAAAAAACACACAGACGCTATGTATGTATATCATAAGAAATATACTAAGTCCGATCAAAGAACATGATTCATAAAACACACCCAAGTCCCAAAGAGGAACAAATAATTCTGGTAAATATTTGGCATATTTGCGGATTGCTTTTGGCAATGCCTTTTGGATTCCCATGGGGTTCCGCGCTCCCCCGGCAACGAGGCGATCCGCCTGATCAAATGCAAAAACGAAAGGCAGACACAAATGCACTGCGACGAGTGGAACGAAGACAAGTGAATGAGCGAAGCAAATGGGGCTGACAGCAAACGACCTTCTCAATATGGTTAGAAATTGTTAATTTTAGCCAAATGAGTCAAAAATCGAGTAGCACAACCGGCTCGCTGATCGATGGCAGATCTGTGCTTGGGGACTACGTAATCTAATTTTTTGGAAGCTCATCCTTCACGGCATTCCACAAGGGAGTGCGACTTTGGGGCCCCCAAACACGGTCGCCCATTCACCTATTGTGTGTAGTGTGGGTATGCCCTAATATGGAAATATATATACATTCAACTCGGACCGGACCAAATGCGGTAGCCGCGACTGCGACTGCAACTGCGACGACCATTGAACGTGAGGCGCCACTTGCATCGCTGGCTGGCTCGTTGTCGCGGGGGCATGGCGTGAATCAGCACCCAGTGAAATGCTAAATAAATTTTCACTTCCATTTTAATTAATTTGAATTTATTTTGCACTAAAATTACACACAACATTTACACACCGCAGGCAGCTGGGCCAAAATTGGCTGCTGCGTCTCTACGCCACGACTAAAAATAAATTGACAAATATTTTGTGTTTTTATGAAAAGGTAATGAAAGCCACATGTCCTCTATTTCGGCTCATACAAATAGGAATACCCCCAAATGGAAATCTGTGTGGGGGAAATGGGGGAAGAGGGACCGAACCAAACTCACTTTTCGGGACGCCATGCTGACGGTTGTTGTTGAATGATCTCAAGTTGTAATACTTCGAAGAATGATGGCTAATACTGATGATCTCTTGATTGCCCACTAATTGCACAATGCCTGGCAGGTCGAGCACGTTTTTCATAAACAAAACACACACACGCACAGTGAGAGAGCAATTCTCTAATGAGTTTTTCTGAGTTTCGTAAACAAATTTCAGAATTTTCTTTTTCGAAAATAATTTGCACGAGCTGCGCGCGTTTGGGTTGGCGTTCAGGTCGCCTCGGCTCCACTCGGTTGGATTCTGTTCTGTTGTGTTATCTTGGGCTGGGGCTGTGGCGTCGTCACCGAGACGTTGTAACGTGTACTGCTGGTCGCGACAAATTTTCAACTCGACTGAGTTGCTGCGCCTCCTTGCTCAAAGTTTTAATGCAGCCAAACGCGCTCAGCTTTTTTTGCTCAATTTCTTTATTATTATTCACTCAGAATAATCATACAGCAGGGGCTACGAATATAGGATCAGGGGATGAGGGATGGGAATATGAAATAATATGAAATATGAAAATCGAATATATTATCTTGTATTGTTGTATTTGTATTGTATGTGTCGTATGGGCTACGAATATATGTACACACATAGGTACAGAGATGAAGGATCTTCAGAAATTTATTGAAAAATGTATCCCTAAATTTACTACCCTATTTGTTAGAAGGTACAATCCAACAGATCCTTTACCCTTTTCCTTGAACTCTTTCTAAACTCAATATTAACCTTGGGTTTATCGCCCGAACCTATGCAAACGGCCGCGACTGTATAACATCTTCAATACATAATTTGTTCAATATTTGTTTCGCCTTATGCTTTGTGTTGTGTTTTTGGTATTGCATGTGACGTTGACTTTGACGTCGACTGCACTCTTGACTCTGTTTGGCAGGTTTTTGGCGACGCGTTGCCCCACGAATGTGATTTTCAGCGCGCAGCTGATTTTGTTGGTGTTCTATTCATAGAACCTGCTCGTCCGATTAGTCGTTGTCTTTTGTCTTTTGTCTGTTGTTGGCCAAAACTGAAAGTGCCTCCTGACCCGTGCTTCATTTGTTGCCACTTTTGTTGACGGTCGCGGCCGCCACAAGTGCAATGCGCATTCCGTGTTTCCCCGACAGCTGACTCATCAACATAATTTGGCATATATATACATGTGTATGAAAATATGCAAAATAAACGAACCGCATCAAAGTCCTAAATCAAATTAACAATTTGAACAAAATTTGACACCCCGAAATTCCTATACCCTTATCGCTCGACAACCAACAAAAGGTCGTATAAATCTGCTGTTTAGGAAATTGAGCTGCAGATAGAATTTTGGCTGATGTGTTAGAAAATCTATAATAGTAATACTATTTACTATTGCATTTATAAATATTATACAATAATAATAATTTAAGAAAAAATATATAATACCCCTTGGCAGAGTATCACATCATGTTCTTGTGGCTAGTTCTGCCTTAGGAGATGACTAAGACGCTCCGGGCCAATCAGCTGTCATAAATTCTTTGATTTTATTTGGCTTGGGTCGAAAGACTTTTGTTTCTAGATAAAAAAAAAACGGTACAATGCAGAGAGCACGCTAAAAATATCATAAATTTGATTTTGATTACGTGATTTGAATGCTGGAATTTGGCAAAAGAATGATTGCCCTCAAAAGCTTAAAATAACAAACAATCGATACTAAACGATATCAAAATGGATAACCGTATCCGGGTATGCACTTTATAGGTGCTAGGATAAGATATGGGGTGGGAAATCTGTGTACTAATCTTAACTATAAGTTCTGCAAAAATTTAAATTATTTGATGACCAAAATTCCACTTGGCGTTTCGTGTGTGGCCACGCGTGTGTTGTTTTACACAAATATTATTTCTATATGTATAACTGATCATGCCAGCAGCTGTTTCGGTCTTTAAAATTTTTATGTTCCGCATACGCCCCATTGCCGCCAAATATCATCACGTGTGTACGATTTTACCCTTTATCTTCTGCTTTCTTATGTATCTGCTGCTAAAATATTGTACGCCCGAAAATAAATGGTTTTCTATTAGCAACAAATCAGCGGAAACTTAAAAATCATTCACCATAAAAATTTGAAACAAAAGAAATATTCAAAGTTTTCCATGGCACACTTATACAACAATTAAATAACAGAGTACAGAGATAAATATTTGCCAATCTACGCAAACGGTTACAAGCAATTGTTTCAATATTTGGCTTTCAAAGAGAACTTAAATGTATAAAATCAACAAATTTCTCTAACAAAATATCAGTTTCAAACGAAAGATAGAAAGATGAAGTTCTTTACTGTCCTTTTGTTTCTGTGTGCCATGGCTGGATACTCCTTTGCTACGGGAACATCTTCAACAACTACAGAACAGGCCTTTACAACCGCTGCAGCGCCAGCCGCTGTCACCCCTGGACCATGCGGAGGAAATCAAATTGGAGGACCTAGTGGCAAGATTGTACGCAATGCCAAAAAACTATACTTCTTTTATTAATAAATATTAAACAGGAAGTGTAAAAAGTTTCTGTTTATCTGACTAAGACTTGTCTGTTGGTTGATTCTTTTCGTTGCTGTGCGAAGTACGAATCACACAAAAGCTACAAACCAGAAAAGGTGTAGGAAATTGTATGTACCCTGAATTTGTTGTTAAAAATGCGACGGGCATAATGATAAAGTGTAGATACTTCAATTTTCGGTTATTCTTATACATACATATATCCATATGTACGAGTACATAATTTTATTCAAATAAAAAATCCGAGTTCGGGTACCACAGTACCGGTACCTCTATTTCACGGAGTGTAACAGGGACTGAAAGAAGTCCAACGTATACCCATACTACAGGGACTGAAACAGGGACTTCCCCAACCAATACAGGAAGTGGAAGACCCACTTTCATATATACCGAACCCCGTACTACAGGGAGTGGAACAGGGACTCCACCAGCTCCAAAGAAAATATTTCAAACGAGCGGGAACGTTGTGAGTCGTAGCTACGGCCGCGACTCTGCTTTTTACCCGATACTCAGTCAGTACGGCTCTCATCCGCCAGAGCAAATGAGTGCGAAACATGGCACGACGAACAGTGAGTAAGAGGGAGACAGAAAATAAGTAAGCATGTGGACGGCATTGCGTATCTGCATTCTGGCTATAAAAATAATCAGATCTGATCCAGATTCGTCAGTCTGGCAGATATTCTCGTATCTCTAAAATTATGGATGCCACAGATTTTCGTCCCTTGTGGGTGCGGAAAGGGCCCGGGCGATATTTTGAAAAACTGTGATATCACAGGAGTATGGATACATACTGCTTTAGCTCGTATAGTCTCTAGGACGGACACACGGGCTGGGGTATTGATATTTATCAAGAATGTATGTACTTTATGGGGTCGGCAACGCTTCCTTCTGGATGTTACACACAAGTACTGTCACCACACATTGAATATACCCCTGTACAACTTGATATTAAATTAGAATTTAGTAAGCGATTCTGATCGTTCCTAATTCCGATCCCAAACCGATCTCGTAATGCCCAACTGTCTTTTCTGTTTGTCCTCTAAGTTAAAGGGTATACATTAAAAGTATCCCCGGTATTTCTAGATGAAAAGTTCAATCGAAGTCAATTTTTTTTGCTCGTATTACCTTCTGTTTCTCTGCCCCCCAGTAAGCCAAAAAAGTAGATAGATGCTCGTGTTCGAGCGCCTAAACATATGTGTTTTCTAGCCAAATTTTTGACAAATTTATTCAATACCAATATTAAATATTTGCCCAACTGTTTCTTAGTTAACAGATTTACTTCGCAAACTTAATCAAGCATTTGTGTCATTATTTGATAATTCTTTTTCACAGGTGGAAAGTATAAATGCGCGAAATTTCTCTATAGAAATATCAGTTTCAACCGAGAGATAGAAAGATGAAGTTCTTTACAGTCCTGTTGCTGCTGTGTGCCATGGCTGGATGCTCCATTGCCGTGTCCACTATAAGTACCACTACCGGTACCGGTACCCCTAGCGGTACCTATACCACGACTTATCGCTGGACAGATGACGCCACAACGTTAGCCCCAGCAGCTTCACCCCCGTCCAACCCTTGCGGCGGCTTTGGAGGTCCCTGCGGTAAAATTCCTCGCGATGGCAAAAAATTATACTTCTTCTATTAAAGACGTTCCTAGTGTTTGAAACAGAATAAAAGAAATCGAAAGAATACGCTTCGCCTTCCGAATTTCTCAGGTGCAGCAGAGCGTGCGACCGATGCTAAAATAAGACCAGAAGCTAGGTAAACATCTGACTATCGGCAGACAAATGTATTTTACGGGTCTCACAGCCAAAACAATTAACGCCACTCCACACAGGTCCAGTGGAGAGGCTGGCTTTCAACGCACTGTGGGCACCCATCACGAAAATATCTCACAGAAATGTACGCCATATTTCACATAGAAATACTCTCATAAGCAGCCAGACATGAAATATTTTGGCTTCGCTTGTCCGGAATCTATTATATTTATACATATATCAAAAGCGAGTATGTATATGTACACTTTGGATCTCTTGCGGGTATTATACATCACATTTCTTCGGTATATATCTCGGCTATAGATATTTCATCGAGCAATTGCCTTTATTGGAGACATTCTTTCACATACTTTAACATTTTCACTTGTTTTTCCACCAATTTTCCATTGACTTGGTAGAAATTGCGAAATTTCTGTTGCTCAATTTCAGAATATATCTACATAAAGAAAATGTACGATATATATATATATAAAGTACGACACACGCGCCTACATATGAGAAGTACACTATATGGACACTGCGTATACGCCGCGTATTCCAAGGAGAACAGAACTTGAGACCCGCACACGTCCAAGTCAATGCAGCAACTGAAAATCTTTTCGAAAATGCCAAGATACAACTGATACACAACCGAATGAGTGAGTGTTTTCCCCTTCTCTGTTGTTGCTGAATGGTGAGCGCGGAAAGAAATATTTTCAGAATTTCCATGCGCCCCGCCACTCGCTACGCGAGATCCCGTGAGCGATTTCTATCAGCATCTTTTGACAGCGTCCACCGAGCGTTCTCCTACAAGAACATGACTAAGAGATGGGTTGTCTGGGCTCTACCTCTCTACCTGATTCTAATTAGAGTAGCCGCAGCCTCACACGTGCAGCCAGTAGACATTTCCTCCGACTCGGACATAAATCAGTAGCGGGAGGATGACTCAGTCGCAGTCCGTCCGAATGCCTGCCTGTCTGCCTGTCTCCCTTGGCGTCTGGCCATGAGCCAACTTTGTCCATTACATCCAGGAAAAATTCACATCGAATGGTTTTCAAATACATATTCATTTATTTAGCCAATTTGCTGCTTATGGACCTGGGAACACTTTCCATTGCCACTCATGGTCTGCCGGATCCAGTCTCTGTAGTACATGATATTCATGAAAAGATCGGGCACCCCTTGGGCGCACGGCACAAAGAAGTTGAGAATCCCCACCAAGGTTCCCTCGTAGACTAGAGGTCCGCCCGAGTCGCCATGACAGGCGCCAATGTTCGCCTGGCGAAAACCACACACATGGCAGGCGCCCAGCTCCACATCCTCGTAGGCGGCGAGCAGGGTCGAGCAGACCTGGCTGGTGATGTGCTGCTGCTGGAAACGCTGCAGCTGAACGGGAAGAGTGCCAGCCACCGACTGAGACCCCCAGCCGGTGAAGAGGAGCTCCGCTGTGCCCTGGGGAAAGGCTGCAGTGGGCAGAGCCACATCCACGACGACCACGGTCAGGCCGAGTGCGCAGCGTGTGAAGTTCATTAACATTTTCATTAATTGCAAAAGGCCGCGGAGCGACAAAACGCAATGCAGAGTGCAACAATTAAACGATAAATGACCAATTTTTTAATACTCTCTCTTGAAGGTACACAAATTGTGGGCACACAAACACGTCGGAGTGCTGGAGAAGAGATTAAACACACACACACTCCACCTGTGGGGGTGGGGAAGAGAGAACACACACACCACCTGTGGGGGTGGGGAAGAGAACACACACAGCGATAAAGTTTAGCCACGCAATGATTCTTAGTCTCTGTGTGTTTATTAATTAAATAATTAATAACCCCAGTTAAAAATTTCACTTCTGTATCAAACTAAAGGATTTCACATTTTGGTGGAATTTAATATCCTTTTTAAAACATAATTTATTTGATTCACTGTTGGGAAACTGGGGAAGAAGATCACACGCAGGACATAGGGACACACACACACACACACACGCAACACTTTACAGGCGATGAAGAGGGGGACACACGAACACACACACCTGTTGATGGCAAACGTCGTAGTTCTTGTTGTTGTTGTTCTGTGCTGACGTTGGCTGTTGGGCGTAAAAATTTAAATTGCTAAAATTTGGCACAAATTGCGATGCGTTCTGCTCTGTATGGTTGTTGCCGTTGACACACGCGTTTGTCTGGAAATTTGGCGGGTTTTTTCTATTGTTGAGATGATGGCTATTGTTGCTGTGGCTGAGGAATATGGTCGCCTGTGTCGCCGCCGTCTGACCACCGTTTGTATAATTCGCGTGAACGGATATTGGGACTGGGACGGGACCGTCGTCAGCGTCGTTACTGTTGCGCGTCGAAAATGCTTTTGACGCGACGATCGCCGACGGAGTTTCTCGCGCACCGGCATTTTCGCGTCTCTCTATCTCTCCGTTGTACATGTAGCCGGTTTTGTTGTTGTTGCTGCTGCTGCTTCTGCTCTCCTCTTTGCTCTCCACTTCGTATCTTTCGTATTTTGTTTTCGTTTTGCTTTTAGGTGAAAATGCACGAGTTGGCAGCGCTCTTTCTTTTAACGTAAGAACGATAGATACCAGCGCCGTAAAGCATCGATGAATTATATATTATATATATACACGGTTTACCGTTCTGTGGAGTGGAGAATGTTCGTACATAAACAGGTTTTTTCACAGCAAAAAATTCAGTGTGAGAGCGTAAGGTCTTTGCTTATCGCGGTATTTTCAGTATTTTGCAGTATTTTTATTAATTATTAAGACGTATATTTCTGCAGTCTTAAGTTTAAGCTGTGAGCCGCAAAGTATGCATTGTTTAAGCCCTTGAACGAGCCTATGAATTTCCGTTATGAATTATGACGCATTGAATTTTCAAAATTTTTTATGAAGTAATAAGCGAGATATTTGCGAGATAATACCCGTTTTAAGAGATTACTAAAAATAAAACCTTAGTTTGCAATAATTTATTTTACAATTTATGAAGTGCCCGACTTTTTGAATTTCCCGCCTGTTTTTTGCTTCTGTCAAACGGGGTTCATCATTTAATTTCTGTCAAAATTTGAAGAAGCTTCGTCATAAAGTTTGTATTTCCCCGCAATTTTTGGAGAAAATGGAAAACTGAATTCCTGTGTGCTCATCATTTTGTTTTTGACGAAAAAATTTCTCATACTGTTCATAGGAAAATTGATATTACCAGTAATTAGGTACTAATAAACTTATAGCCAAACAATTTGTAGCCACAAAGTATGCAGTTTCTCAACCTTTTATAGAGCTTATCAATTTAATAGATTAAATGCTTTGTTTTTTGTTTTTAATAAAAATAATAAGTATGTACATATATATCAAAAACCGGTTGTTCTTCTCCTTTACTTGTAAATAAGCGTTCGTTCTATTATTAACACTTAAACCAATCCCTCAAACGTCCTGTCATTGACCCTTGTCAAAAAACACACAGACGCTATGTATATCAAAGAACATGATTCATAAAAACACACCCAAGTCCCAAAGAGGAACAAATAATTCTGGTAAATATTTGGCATATTTGCGGATTGCTTTTGGCAATGCCTTTTGGATTCCCATGGGGTTCCGCGCTCCCCCGGCAACGAGGCGATCCGCCTGATCAAATGCAAAAACGAAAGGCAGACACAAATGCACTGCGACGAGTGGAACGAAGACAAGTGAATGAGCGAAGCAAATGGGGCTGACAGCAAACGACCTTCTCAATATGGTTAGAAATTGTTAATTTTAGCCAAATGAGTCAAAAATCGAGTAGCACAACCGGCTCGCTGATCGATGGCAGATCTGTGCTTGGGGACTACGTAATCTAATTTTTTGGAAGCTCATCCTTCACGGCATTCCACAAGGGAGTGCGACTTTGGGGCCCCCAAACACGGTCACCCATTCCCCTATTGTGTGTAGTGTGGGTATGCCCTAATATGGAAATATATATACATTCAACTCGGACCGGACCAAATGCGGTAGCCGCGACTGCGACTGCAACTGCGACGACCATTGAACGTGAGGCGCCACTTGCATCGCTGGCTGGCTCGTTGTCGCGGGGGCATGGCGTGAATCAGCACCCAATGAAATGCTAAATAAATTTTCACTTCCATTTTAATTAATTTGAATTTATTTTGGACTAAAATTACACACAACATTTACACACCGCAGGCAGCTGGGCCAAAATTGGGTGCTGCGTCTCTACGCCCCGACTAAAAATAAATTGACAAATATTTTGTGTTTTTATGAAAAGGTAATGAAAGCCACATGTCCTCTATTTCGGCTCATACGAATAGGTATACCCCCAAATGGAAATCTGTGTGGGGGAAATGGGGGAAGAGGGACCGAACCAAACTCACTTTTCGGGACGCCATGCTGACGGTTGATTGTTTGTTGAATGATCGCAAGTTGTAATACTTCGAAGAATGATGGCTAATACTGATGATCTCTTGATTGCCCACTAATTACACAATGCCTGGCAGGTCGAGCACGTTTTTCACAAACAAAACACACACCACACACACGCACAGTGAGAGAGCAATTCTCTAATGAGTTTTTCTGAGTTTCGTAAACAAATTTCAGAATTTTTCTTTTCGAAAATAATTTGCACGAGCTGCGCGCGTTTGGGTTGGCGTTCAGGTCGCCTCGGCTCCACTCGGTTGGATTCTGTTCTATTCTGTTGTATTCTGTTGTGTTATCTTGGGCTGGGGCTGTGGCGTCGTCACCGAGACGTTGTAACGTGTACTGCTGGTCGCGACAAATTTTCAACTCGACTGAGTTGCTGCGCCTCCTTGCTCAAAGTTTTAATGCAGCCAAACGCGCGCAGCTTTTTTTGCTCAATTTCTTTATTATTATTCACTCAGAAGAATCATACAGCAGGGGCTACGAATATAGGATCAGGGGATGAGGGATGAGAATATAAAATAATATGAAAATCGAATATATTAACTTGTATTTGTATTTGTATTGTATGTGTCGTATGGGCTACAAATATATGTACATACATAGGTACAGAGATGAAGGATCTTTCAAAAACTATTGCAGAAAATGTATCTCTGTATTTACTACCCTATTTGTTAGAAGGTACAAACCAACAGATCCTATACCTTTTTCCTTGAACTCTTTCTAAACTCAATATTAACCTTGGGTTTATCGCCCGAACCTAGGCAAACGGCCGCGACTGTATAACATTTTCAATACATAATTTGTTCAATATTTGTTTCGCCTTATGCTTTGTGTTGTGTTTTTGGTATTGCATGTGACGTTGACTTTGACGTCGACTGCACTCTTGACTCTGTTTGGCAGGTTTTTGGCGACGCGTTGCCCCACGAATGTGATTTTCAGCGCGCAGCTGATTTTGTTGGTGTTCTATTCATAGAACCTGCTCGTCCGATTAGTCGTTGTCTTTTGTCTTTTGTCTGTTGTTGGCCAAAACTGAAAGTGCCTCCTGACCCGTGCTTCATTTGTTGCCACTTTTGTTGACGGTCGCGGCCGCCACAAGTGCAATGCGCATTCCGTGTTTCCCCGCCAGCTGACTCATCAACATAATTTGGCATATATATACATGTGTATGAAAATATGCAAAATAAACGAACCGCATCAAAGTCCTAAATCAAATTAACAATTTGAACAAAATTTGACACCCCGAAATTCCTATACCCTTATCGCTCGACAACCAACAAAAGGTCGTATAAATCTGCTGTTTAGGAAATTGAGCTGCAGATAGAATTTTGGCTGATGTGTTAGAAAATCTTTAATAGTAATACTATTTACTATTGCATTTATAAATATTATACAATAATAATAATTTAAGAAAAAATATATAATACCCCTTGGCAGAGTATCACATCATGTTCTTGTGGCTAGTTCTGCCTTAGGAGATGACTAAGACGCTCCGGACAAATCAGCTGTCATAAATTCTTTGATTTTATTTGGCTTGGGTCGAAAGACTTTTGTTTCTAGATAAAAAAGCGGCTCAATGTAGAGAGCACGCTAAAAATATCATAAATTTGATTTTGATTACGTGATTTGAATGCTGGAATTTGGCAAAAGAATGATTGCCCTCAAAAGCTTAAAATAACAAACAATCGATACTAAACGATATCAAAATGGATAACCGTATCCGGGTATGCACTTTATAGGTTCTAGGATAAGATATGGGGTGGGGAATCTCTGTAATAATCTTAACTATATTTTCTGCAAAAATTTAAATGATTTGATGACCAAAATTCCACTTGGCGTTTCGTGTGTGGCCACGCGTGTGTTGTTTTAGACAAATATTATTTCTTTTATGTATAACTGATCATGCCAGCAGCTGTTTCGGTCTTTAAAATGTTGATGTTCCGCATACGCCCCATTGCCGCCAAATAATATCACGTGTGTACGATTTTACCCTTTATCTTCTGCTTTCTTATGTATCTGCTGCTAAAATATTGTACGCCCGAAAATAAATGGATTTCTATTAGCAACAAATCAGCAGAAACTTAAAAATCATTCACCATAAAAATTTGAAACAAAAGAAATATTCAAAGTTTTCCATGGCACACTTATACAACAATTAGATAACAGAGTACAGAGATAAATATTTGTCAATCTACGCAAACGGTTACAAACAATTGTTTCAATATTTGGCTTTCAAAGAGAACTACATACATACATTAGTATAAAATCAACAAATTTCTCTAAAAAAATATCAGTTTCAACCGAGAGATAGAAAGATGAAGTTCTTTACAGTCCTGTTGCTGCTGTGTGCCATGGCTGGATGCTCCATTGCCATCGAAAGAATACGCTTCGCCCTCCGAATTTCTCAGGTGCAGCAGAGCGTGCGACCGATGCTAAAATAAGACCAGAAGCCAGGTAAACATCTGGCTATCGGCAGACAAATGCATTTTACGAGTTTTACAGCCAAAACAATTGATGCCACTCCACGCGGGTCCAGTGGAGAGGATGGCTTTCAACGCACTGTGGGCACCCATCACGAAAATATCTCACAGAAATGTACGCCATATTTCACCAAAAATACTCTCATAAGCAGCCAGACATGAAATATTTTGGCTTCGCTTGTCCGGAATCTATTATATTTATACATATATCAAAAGCGAGTATGTATATGTACACTTTGGATCTCTTGCGGGTATTATACATCACATTTCTTCGGTATATCAGCTCAGTTATAGATATTTCATCGAGCAATTGCCTTTATTGGAGACATTCTTTCACATACTTTAACATTTTCACTTGTTTTTTCACCAATTTTCCATTGACTTGGTAGAAATTGCGAAATTTCTGTTGCTCAATTTCAGAATATATCTACATAAAGAAAATGTACGATATATATTTATATAAAGTACGACACACGCGCCTACATATGAGAAGTACACTATATGGACACTGCGTATACGCCGCGTATTCCAAGGAGAATAGAACTTGAGACCCGCACACGTCCAAGTCAATGCAGCAACTGAAAATCTTTTCGAAAATGCCAAGATACAACTGATACACAACCGAATGAGTGAGTGTTTTTCTTCTTCTCTGTTGTTGCTGAATGGTGAGCGCGGAAAGAAATATTTTCAGAATTTCCATGCGCCCCGCCACTCGCTACGCGAGATCCCGTGAGCGATTTCTATCAGCATCTTTTGACAGCGTCCACCGAGCGTTCTCCTACAAGAGCATGACTAAGAGATGGGTTGTCTGGGCTCTACCTCTCTACCTGATTCTAATTAGAGTAGCCGCAGCCTCACACGTGCAGCCAGTAGACATTACCTCCGACTCGGACATAAATCAGTAGCGGGAGGATGACTCAGTCGCAGTCCGTCCGAATGCCTGCCTGTCTGCCTGTCTCCCTTGGCGTCTGGCCATGAGCCAACTTTGTCCATTGCATCCAGGAAAAATGCACATCGAATGGTTTTCAAATACATACATTTATTTATTTAGCCAATTTGCTGCTTATGGACCTGGGAACACTTTCCATTGCCACTCATGGTCTGCCGGATCCAGTCTCTGTAGTACATGATATTCATGAAAAGATCGGGCACCCCTTGGGCGCACGGCACAAAGAAGTTGAGAATCCCCACCAAGGTTCCCTCGTAGACTAGAGGTCCGCCCGAGTCGCCATGACAGGCGCCAATGTTCGCCTGACGAAAACCACACACATGGCAGGCGCCCAGCTCCACATCCTCGTAGGCGGCGAGCAGGGTCGAGCAGACCTGGCTGGTGATGTGCTGCTGCTGGACACGCTGCAGCTGAACGGGAAGAGTACCAGCCACCGACTGAGACCCCCAGCCGGTGAAGAGGAGCTCCGCTGTGCCCTGGGGAAAGGCTGCAGTGGGCAGAGCCACAGGCTGGGTCAGAGCATCGTAGACAATGCTCTCGTTCAGCCGCAGCAGAGCAATGTCGTTGTGGTACTTGGGACTGTCGTAGTTGCAGTGCAGGTAAATGGACTCCGGATAGTATATAGCTCCTGGCAGCGTATAGCGAATGCTTCCAGTGGCCACTTGGAGCCTGTCCGCCGGATAACCCTTCACGCATTGTCCGGCGGTGAGTATCCAGCGCTCCGAGACGATGGCACCACCACATAGATGACTGTCGCCCGGCACGGTCTGCAGGGAGATTTGATACGGAGCATCACCCTCGGCGGCATTCTGGCCACCCACTATGAACTGCTCTTTCCTGGCCCCCAAGGTGCCATTAAGAAATCCCACAAATAGGTAGAGTACGAGGCACCGTGGTAATATCATGGCCGATATCCAAGCAAAGACTGGGGTTGGATAGCCGGAAAATATTGGTTATACCCTTCGTCGATTGTGATTGATATTGTAAAGCAAAGTGGCCTGACCAAAGGTTCTGACCAATCGTGGCCATAAACAGATTTTTTATCGGACTTCGATAAGTGGCGAAAAAGAGGTTCCAGCACAACATTCACATGTCATTAGCTGACCAGACATAGACCCAAGATGACAGCACTGGCTCTACGTCTTCTGGTGGCCATCAGCGCCTTTTCCTGCATATCAGGCATACGCATCAAGAGCAACTCCAGCACCGCCTTCAAGGATCAGCGCATTGTTGGAGGGGAGGCAGCCCCGGAAGGATTTGCCCCCTACCAGATCTCCCTCCAGAGTCTATCCGGTGCCCACTCCTGCGGTGGTGCGATCATTGCCGAACAGTGGGTCCTGACCGCCGCTCACTGTGTCCAGGGCGCAAATGTACAGCTGATGGTGGTCGTCTCCGGTACCAATCAGTACAATATCAGGGAAAATCGTCACTTTGTCCGGGCCGTACACATCCACTGCAACTACGACAACCCGTCGATGCACAACGACATCGCTTTGCTGCAGCTGAACGACTCCATTGTGTGGAACGAACGGACACAGCCGATTCCTCTGCCTGTGGCCCCCATGCAGCCGGGAGCCGAAGTGGTTCTCACTGGCTGGGGCTCCACCATATTGTGGGGCAACAGTCCCATTGATCTGCAGATCCTCTATCTCCAGTATGTGCCTCATCGCGAGTGCCTAGAGGCTCTGAGCAACGACGCCGACTGCGATGTGGGTCATATCTGCACCTTCTCGCGGCAGGGCGAGGGCGCCTGCCATGGAGACTCGGGCGGCCCTCTGGTCAGCGATGGCTATCTGGTGGGACTCGTCAATTGGGGCTGGCCTTGTGCCACCGGCGTTCCGGTAAGAGTTCTGCAGAAACCTGTTTCCAAATTTAATCCCTGTGTGCCTTCCCCAGGATGTCCATGCCAATGTGTTATTCTACAGCGATTGGATACGCACTGTCATGAGCGGGAATACGAAGTGTGGAGGCTACGCCACCACAGAGCGCTAGAGGACGTGGCTATCGTGACAATAAAATAAAACGAAAACGATAAAAACCTCTTCGATAAGACAAGCCTCTTAATAAAGCATTTATAGTGATGAAAGTACCTTTTGGTCTTCAGTTCAGTCCGTGGCGAAACGTTCGAGATGCAGTTGCTTTACCCTTGCCTAATATTCCTTCTTCTTCAGTCTGGCCAGAGCCAGGCCAAGCGGCTGGTAGGACCAGCCCGTGAAGCCACCTCGAGTCGCATTAAGGGCGGCCAGGAGGCAGAGACTGGATTTGCACCCTACCAGGTGTCCCTGCAGCCCGTTGTGGGCGCCCACAACTGTGGTGGGGCTATTCTCAACGAGCAGTGGATCATCACCGCCGGACACTGCGTGGAGACATTCGTTCCGGCGCTGGTGAACGTGATAACCGGGACGAATCGCTGGGCAGAGCCCGGGGCAGTGTACTACACCGCCGAGATCCACATGCACTGCATGTACGATCAGCCCTATTTGCACAACGACATTGCCCTGGTGAAGCTCACCCAGAACATCACCTTCAACGAGCTGACCCAACCCATTAAGCTGCCAACGCGGCCTGTCCGGGAGGGGGATGAGATAGTCCTCACCGGATGGGGTGCGGAGGAGGCCTATGGCAGCTCCGCGGAGAACCTGCAGAAGCTGAGTCTGGGCTTTGTACCACTCGACGAGTGCAAGGAGATCTTCAATCAGACCAGCAGCATGGGTGTGGGGCACATCTGCACCTACTCCCGTGAGGGCGAAGGCGCCTGTCACGGCGACTCGGGCGGACCTTTGGTCAGCGATGGCCAGCTGGTGGGTCTGGTCAACTGGGGACGACCCTGCGGCGTCGGCCTACCCGATGTCCAGGCGAATGTGTGGTACTACCTCGACTGGATACGCCGCAGGATCAGCGGAAACTCCAAATGCACTGCTTAGAGAACTTAGTGTACAATAAAGATCATACCATTAACCCGGCACGTCACTGGCTTTATTTTCATCACAGACTGGGATAGTTGCTGGCGTAGCAGTGGCAAGTCTTGCAGGGTCCGTTTATCGTGGATCGAATCCAGTCCGAGTAGAAGTAGATGGAGGCATGGCTATCGGGGACACCAGTGGCACAGGGATAGCCCCAGTTGACCACGCCGTACAGCTGTCCGTTGGCTGTCAGCGGACCTCCGGAGTCGCCGTGGCAGGCGCCCTGTCCGCCCGACGTCAGCGTACACACGTGGCAATGACCGTTCAGGGGATCGTTGTCCATTAGCTTCTGGCAGGTGGGATAATCGACGTACGTGAGGGAGGCCTTCTGCAGCACATCAGGGGAGTCACCCCACAGTTCGGTAGAGCCCCATCCAGTGAGCAGGAGCTCTGTGCCATTGGCCAGCGGCTCCTTGGGCAAGGCTATGGGCTGTGTGACCTCGTTAAACACAATCGAGTCGTTCAGCTTGATCAGGGCAATGTCGTTGGCGTAGTTAGGCACGTTGTAGTTGCAGTGCACCCAGTACTCCTCCACAAAGTACCTCGCATCGGGTTCGGCCCAACGAATAGTGCCGGTGGCCACCCGCAGGTAGCTGGGATTATATCCGTAAACACAATGGGCCGCCGTCACGATCCACCGCTCGTTGAGGATCGCTCCACCGCACATGTGATCGTAGTAATAGCTTCCCTGCAGTGAGATCTGGTACTTCGCCAGACCCAGCTCCGCATCTGTGCCATCTACGACGCGACCTTCGAACGCTCTGGCCCCCTTGGATAACCTTTCCTGCTGCTTGGCGCTCAGCGGCGCCACTCGAATGGCTCTGGTTGATCCACTGAGCAGGATCAGGAGGATCGTCGTCGCATATGCCAGGCGAACCAGCATAGTGAATGATTCGTTGAATTTGTACGTGCCTATTAAGCGTATCCATGTGTCGTGATTTTGCTTTTATACTCGACAGAAGGGAAATCTTGGATATATCGTAAGAGTTTTATCGTAAATCGGATTCGATGTTCCTCCAAGTTGTATCTATACCATAAACCAGATACGAGTATCATAAAGTGATACAGACGCCACTCTGATTATGATTTTGTGACAGGGCTATCAATGTCACCAGCGTCAATGGATAGTCAATAGCTCGGAACCGGCCAGTACTTGGACATTGGCTCAGGGCCAGGGCCAGCCAGCCCATATGTCCAGGGCGGCAGTACAACAACATTATAAAGAAAGTATAAAGAGAGTATTAGATCACTCTAAAGTTTCCGCATAATGATCTAAATTGTATTAACCATTCCAGGGAGGCAGTACAACAACTTTATAAAGAAAGTATAAAGACAGTATAATCTAGTATTAGATCACTCTGAAGTTTTTGCATAATGCTCTAAATTGTATTAACCATTCGAGAAATATTTATGATATTTATCTGATTCCAATCAACTATCCAGAAATTGTAAAGATAAAGATATCAAAGCTTCATCGTTATTATCCCACCCAACCCCTGCATTTTCTTACAATTTACCTAAAACATTGTATTTCGATCAGTCTACGAATTATCTCAATATCTAATTGTGCAATATTTATTTCCTGTTTGAAATTCCTCAGCCCTCGCCAGGGCTTAATCTACAATCGCAAAACGATTATATCTTACGTCTTGATAGCATTTTGTGTACAAACAGATCCATAAAAGCATTGATTGCCCCGTTTAAAACCAGGTATGACCAGCGAATAGCCTTTACCTTTTGGTTTTCCCTTCCCAAAAGTAATTTTATCAAATTTTATCACATTTCTAACACATTTCTATGTCTTTGTTTTTATTCTAGTTAACCCGATTCTTGCATCCCTTGGGAGTCCTACGGATCCAATCCTGATAGTAAACCGTGTTGGCATACCTAGAAAAAAAATATTTGAGAGTAACTCTTTGGAGTTGGTAAAAAGAATGAAGAATTAAGCCACTTACATGTCTGGCAGACCAACACCGCAGGGTCGTCCCCAGTTGACCAGACCCACCAGCTTGCCCTCCCACATGATTGGACCGCCGGAGTCGCCGGAGCAGGCCCCCTCTCCCGCGCTCGTTAGGGTGCAGATGTGTCCGATGTCGATGCCCTCGTGATAGTCCCAGGCCTTGCGGCACTCCTCGTGATCGATGATCGTCAGGTTGAGGGTCTGCAGGCGCTCGACTGTCGGCAAACTGTTCTCCGGAGCACCCCAACCAGTCAGGGTTACTGTGGCCCCCACTGGAGGCTGCACGGAGCTGAGCTTCACCATCTGAGTGCGATCATTCATGATGATCGATTCGTTCACGTGGATTAGTCCGATATCATTGTTATATATGTACGGCACGTCGTAGAGGCAGTGCACCAGCGCCTCATCCGGATAGAGCATCTGTCCGGGCTCCGAGCGGTTGTTGGTTCCAACCACAATCCTAATGTCATTGATGCCGTAGTCCAGGGCACAGTGGCCGGCGGTGAGTATCCATTCCTTGTCGAGGATGACGCCGCCGCAGATGTGCGTCTTCCAGACTGTTTGTATGGACACCTGATAAGGGGCCGCTCCCTCCTCGGCCTCGTGGCCACCCACAATGCGGTTGTCCGACACTTTACGATCCAATCGTTTCGAAAATGTGACGTCAAGGGAACTGCCCAGCAGAAGCAGATAAATTAAAGACAAACGTCCAGTCCAGGGCATGATCGACGCAATAGAGACACAGAGACGACGGACGGAGACAGATCCAGACGAATTAATGACCAGCAATGGAAAATTGTATGACCCAACTGGGCGTTTTTATATGGATTCCATATAAACCGGCGTTATCGCTCGACTTGGGTCTTTCCACTGACCACTGGCCGAATCTTTATGGTCCCTCCTACCCCGATATCTTTACGGCTTTAAGGATAAAACCTAATCGGTATTCGGCGAAATTGTCTAATTGGAGCCGAGACCCATAAACTGATTCGATTCCGCGATGACTAGGCGAGGGCCAGTGAGCTGTCAAATCTCAGTCCTGTATAAATGCACTCGCCATGCTTGCTGGCCAGCTCACAATGCCCGCAGGCAGGCCGCAAGGCACTATGAATGCTGAGGAACGCCACTTATCACCTCTGGTTCCCATAAAATACCCTGTTATCCAACTTTTCCATGCGCCGATAAGAACCACGTCGAGCTAGAACTGTAATTATGAGGTGGTCAAAGCTTGGGGTTTCAGTTGCGATTGCACGGCACAGCAATGAGATCTTTGTGGAAAATTACGGGGCTACTCGGTCTGATTCTTCTGACCCTTCAGACAGCTGGAGCCCTGCGTTTGCGGGGGGAACAGCTTCCGGGTGTAGCTGGGGTCAATAGACATCGAACAAGTGATGTGAATCCGTCCTTGGCGTCCTTGGCGAGGAGTGGGCCTGAGGGACGTGTGACCGGGGGCACAGCAGCCACGGCGGGAAGCTGGCCCTGGATTGTGACTCTGCAGAATGTCTACGGCTATCATATCTGCGGCGGCGTCATCATCGACAAAGATTGGATTTTGACGGCCGCCAGTTGCGTCGCGGGCCTGAGGCCACGGCTGCACGGAGCTGAGCTTCACCATCTGAGTGCGATCATTCATGATGATCGATTCGTTCACGTGGATTAGTCCGATATCATTGTTATATATGTACGGCACGTCGTAGAGGCAGTGCACCAGCGCCTCATCCGGATAGAGCATCTGTCCGGGCTCCGAGCGGTTGTTGGTTCCAACCACAATCCTAATGTCATTGATGCCGTAGTCCAGGGCACAGTGGCCGGCGGTGAGTATCCATTCCTTGTCGAGGATGACGCCGCCGCAGATGTGCGTCTTCCAGACTGTTTGTATGGACACCTGATAAGGGGCCGCTCCCTCCTCGGCCTCGTGGCCACCCACAATGCGGTTGTCCGACACTTTACGATCCAATCGTTTCGAAAATGTGACGTCAAGGGAACTGCCCAGCAGAAGCAGATAAATTAAAGACAAACGTCCAGTCCAGGGCATGATCGACGCAATAGAGACACAGAGACGACGGACGGAGACAGATCCAGACGAATTAATGACCAGCAATGGAAAATTGTATGACCCAACTGGGCGTTTTTATATGGATTCCATATAAACCGGCGTTATCGCTCGACTTGGGTCTTTCCACTGACCACTGGCCGAATCTTTATGGTCCCTCCTACCCCGATATCTTTACGGCTTTAAGGATAAAACCTAATCGGTATTCGGCGAAATTGTCTAATTGGAGCCGAGACCCATAAACTGATTCGATTCCGCGATGACTAGGCGAGGGCCAGTGAGCTGTCAAATCTCAGTCCTGTATAAATGCACTCGCCATGCTTGCTGGCCAGCTCACAATGCCCGCAGGCAGGCCGCAAGGCACTATGAATGCTGAGGAACGCCACTTATCACCTCTGGTTCCCATAAAATACCCTGTTATCCAACTTTTCCATGCGCCGATAAGAACCACGTCGAGCTAGAACTGTAATTATGAGGTGGTCAAAGCTTGGGGTTTCAGTTGCGATTGCACGGCACAGCAATGAGATCTTTGTGGAAAATTACGGGGCTACTCGGTCTGATTCTTCTGACCCTTCAGACAGCTGGAGCCCTGCGTTTGCGGGGGGAACAGCTTCCGGGTGTAGCTGGGGTCAATAGACATCGAACAAGTGATGTGAATCCGTCCTTGGCGTCCTTGGCGAGGAGTGGGCCTGAGGGACGTGTGACCGGGGGCACAGCAGCCACGGCGGGAAGCTGGCCCTGGATTGTGACTCTGCAGAATGTCTACGGCTATCATATCTGCGGCGGCGTCATCATCGACAAAGATTGGATTTTGACGGCCGCCAGTTGCGTCGCGGGCCTGAGGCCACGCAATGTGATAGTAGTCACAGGCACCACGGACTGGTGGGACCTCTACGCCATTTACTACATTGTGGACAGCATCCATGTCCACTGCAACTTCGACCAGCCGCTCTACCACAACGACGTGGCCCTGCTGCACATGGCGGACAGCATTGAGTTCAACGAGAACACCACTAGCATCACCCTGGCCGACATTGACGAGTTGCAGGAGGGCGAAAAGCTGACCTTTGCCGGCTGGGGCAGTCCCACGGCGAGTGGCACCTACGAGAGGTATCTGCAGGAGGCATCGGGCACCTATGTGCCGGTGGAGCAGTGCCGCACCGAGCTGGGTGGCACCGAAGACGTGGACCTGGGACATGTGTGCGTGCAGTTGGCTGCCGGAAAAGGTGCTTGCCATGGCGACACCGGCGGACCACTGATCGATGAGCAGAATCGCCTAGTGGGCATTGGCAATTGGGGCGTGCCCTGTGGCCTCGGCTATCCGGTAAGTATTTTGTGATTATTATTGTTAATTGGCCGATTAATTGCTGAAACGTTTCCATTAGGATGTCTATGCCCGGACTGCCTTCTACCACGATTGGCTCCGCACCACCATGAACGGCTGCACCATCAGCTAGTCCGTCCGGACATTGGTCACCCATCACCTATCAGTTCTCTTGAGTTGTATTGCTGATTTAATAAAAATTATGGGATTTTTACGAGCCCATAGTTCTGGGTTTTCTACGATCGCCCATGATTGAGATTGCACAAGCTTTATGGCTCTTCATTAATATCACGCCAGCCATCATTTATATCGTATATCGCATATCATATACTGAATATCGTACTGTCCAAGTCTAGCTGCTTGGTATCCACACCAGCCTGAAATCAGTCCAACTTCTACTGGTTGTCCAACATGTCTTGCCGCATCCGAGTACTCTCTTCGGTAGTCTGCCTCCTGCTGCTGCTGCTGGTGTCCTTCACACAGGCAGAGCTCCGGCGTCGGGCCTTTACCGGCGCATCGGGCGCCACCGCCGCGAATAAGTTCAGTTCTCGTGTCGTGGGCGGCGAAGTGTCCGACGTTAAGGCGGCACCGTATCAGGTGTCGCTGCAGAACTCCTACGGGTACATAAAGAACTTAGGTTATAATTTGAAGTAGAAACAGTACGCAAGTAGTGCTTTGGTTAGCTTTAAAAAGGCTTCGACTTTAAGTGAACAATTCTGTGAGACACTATATGGTTTTTGTGATACTATTCCTTAAGAATTCTTAATTATAATAAGAAATCCACACAGCCTTCAGTATTATTGAGCCTGTTTCTCTATCTATCTACCTGTTTTTAAAGGAACTGGATTATATAAAGATGTAGCTAAACTCTTACAAACACAGATAAATAGCTTAATCGGTCGACAAATAGGATAACTTTGGAAAAATCCAAACTTCTGCATCTACACTCAGAAAAATATGGCATTGTATAAAGAAATACAGCCGTATTTAAATTAAATATTCGTCTCTTAAATACAAACATAATTAAATAAAATAGATTTCATTTAGAATTAAACATAGATGTATCAGAAAGTAGTTTAGATATGGCCCATATTTAATCTTAATATACAAATATTTAACTTAAATATAAAATATATTTATTTACTTATTATATATGAATATTTCATATATAAAATAAATATATTTCACATTGACATTTAATATTATTATATATCCATGTAGATTTAAAATTTTAAATCTATTATTAAATTTTGGCATTTAAATATATATTCAATATATTTACATAATATATTTTCATATTAAGGTAAAAATGTAAGTGGAAAAACACACAATCTATTGGTATATTAGTGTAAATAGTGTACTGTAATAGTGTAGTGTAAATATTACAATTTCAGGGCTTTTTTCTACCGAATCAAACTAAAATCTTATCTCCTTATCACGACTTCGACACAAAATGTATCGATATGCAAGTCTCTTTTTGATTTTGATCGAGTTGATTTTTGCGTAATTATATAATTATTTAATTGATTAATTGATTCTTCAACAATTTCTGATAGATCATAATCTATTTTTGCCTGTTCAATCTATCTCTAGAAATCACTTCTGCGGTGGTGTCATCATTCACGATCAGTATGTGGTCACGGCGGCCAGTTGTCTGGCTGGTCTGCGCAAGAACAACGTGAAGGTTGTGACCACCACGTACAACGATTGGGGTCTAGACGGCTGGGAGTATGCTGTGGAGGAGATCATTCCCCACTGCAACTTCGATCAGCCGCTGTATCACAATGACATAGCCCTGATCAAGACAAAGACGCTGTTCGCATACGACGAGGTAACACAGAACATTACCGTAGCACCACTGGAGGATCTGGTCGAGGGTGAGAAGCTTACTATGTACGGATGGGGCAGCACTTCGGCTGCCGGCGACTTTGAGTGGGAGTTGCGACAGGTCGATCTGAGCTATGTGCCCACAGAGAAGTGCAATGCCACCTACGGGGGCACTGCGGATCTGGATCTGGGACACCTATGCGCCGTGGGACGGGTGGGTGCTGGAGCCTGTCATGGCGATGCCGGAGGACCGCTGGTCGATAGCCAGGGTCGCCTCGTAGGCGTCGGCAACTGGGGAGTGCCCTGCGGCCATGGATTTCCCGATATTTTCGCTCGTCTTAGCTTCTATTACAGCTGGATACAGTCCACGATCAACGGCTGCAGCATTTCCTAAGCAATAAAATGTGTTCCCATTTATTGTCAGACTTTTCTTCGCGGCTCTTCTTAAGATGGTACTTACAAAGTAATCAATTTCATGCCTTGCCTTATTTCTTTCACTCAAAATAATTGATTTGTCCGTCTCAATAAACCTTTTCATTGGGCCAAAGTCTACTTCACACTGAAGGCCACGGCAACCATTCATGTCTTAGACACAAAATTGGCAATAGCTCGGATCTTAATCGTGACAATCGCTAGACCAGACGTCTGGATGGATTATAACCGAAGTTGTTGTAACCATGGAAGATAAGTGAATCGTCAGAATTAGTATGCACCCACAATATGCTATTGGGTTTTTTTTCAATACCCTAAAGCTTTCGGGAGTTTTTTATATGGTAAAAGGCTTCAACTGTGGAAATAAAAGAGAACTTTGGGAAGAACAAAAAAACATCTACTTGTACAAAAAAAAACATTTAAGGAATGCTGAAGGAAAACCACAATTTATATGGCAGAAGAATTGTCAAAAAACTGTTTCCCCTTTTCCATAGAATACCTCAAATTATACCAAGAATACCTCTACTTAGTGGAAAAAAGTATTCCAATCAATGAATTGATTAATAATTAATTTTGTTTACCCTTCCGCTATCTATTGAAAGCAAATCACAGCGAAATATTATATACTTTGAGGGTATGCCAGCTTCTGTGTCTGCTACCTGATTGGCAAAAAACATTTCTTACTCGTAATGGTTCCCGCCGAATGTGGAGTAAAGTTCCATTCGTATCCGACGCCGATTACGGCATTATCAGCTGCCGACGTCTGCAGATCACTGAAAGAGCTCGGGCTCCGATCAAAGTGCGCCCACGTTACGTATGAGTAATAAGTCGTTTGTCGTGTGCGGCTTGTCTATTAATTCCCCCAGCTGCTGTTTTCCCCAATGCTTATTTATCAGGTAACACAGCGCGTATTGGCTATGGTAATTGTCATTATCAAAGCTTCCCCCGAACCGGGCCGCTTATCGCGATAGTATTCAAAGAAAGTCTTGGTTGATAAGGGAATTTCGCCTAGAAGCGTGGTGGGTCTATAAAAGCAAAAGGAGAGCCAAAATGCCTTCAAACGGCAGTCGAAAGTTGAAGCTACCACAACATAAAGAAATAGCATTTAGAGTTCAAATCAAAAATATACAACCACAAGATGAAGTTCCTTCTAGTGACAAGTGTCCTGTTGATCATCGTTTCCCAATGCGTGGCGCGAGAGATTGGAGTAGTCCGTCGGCACCAGCGACCCCATCACCTGGGCACCGTTAAGCCGGAGACAAGGGTTGTGGGCGGCACCGATGCCCCCGCCGGTTTCGCCCCCTACCAGGTGTCCATCATGAGCACCTTTGGCGAGCATGTGTGCGGCGGCAGCATCATCGACGATCGCTGGATCCTGACGGCCGCCCACTGCCTGGAGTGGCCCACACAGTACCTGAAGATCGTGACCGGCAGCAATGACTACACCAAGCCCGGCGCTGAGTATCTGGTGGATGGGGCCAAGGTCCACTGCGGTCACGACAAGCCCGCCTATCACAATGACATTGCACTCATCCACACGGCCAAGCCCATTGTCTATAATGCGCTGACGCAGCCCATCCAGCTGGCCAGCAAGGGCAGCCTCCCCAAGGCCGGGGACACGCTCACCCTGACTGGATGGGGCAGCACCCGCACCTGGGGACGCTATGTCACCGATCTGCAGAAGATCGATCTGAAGTACATCGCACATTCGAGCTGCGAGTCCAAGGTGCGCAATATCAACTGGCTGAGCGAGGGACACCTGTGCACCTTCACCCAGGACGGAGAAGGCTCCTGCCACGGCGACTCCGGCGGCCCGCTGGTGGACGAGAACGGAACCCTCGTGGGCGTCGTCAACTGGGGAGAGGCCTGCGCCATCGGGTATCCGGATGTGTACGGATCCGTGGCATACTATCGGGATTGGATAAATGAGATGATGACAGAAGCGGGCACCGCGTGCTAAAGTCACCCCAGTGGGGTCAAAAGCCACTCCGAACAAAAAACAGCTATCGGCCATATAAACGGCGGTTGCAAATCGATCAAAGTAGCCAGTAAATTTTATCACACAAATATCGTAGTCATTAAATAATTTATGAACAAATAAAAAACGCAATTGCGTCTCGTATTTAAAAAAACACTTTCTATTCTTGTGCCGCCCTTGGGGCATGGCAAACTATTGAATATCTGCTAAGAAACACCCACACTCGAAGCTGTCCAGATAAGTCCAGTCAATCGCTAGTCTGATCCGTCATGATATGCCAGTAGTTCGTAGAAATGACTCAATCCTTCCGAAAAGTCAGCAAACAAACAAACGCCAGCCCAGTCATGTGCGAAAATATTCAGGTATCAAGAGGCTCTTGCTATCACCTGACGAAACGAAGTACCACCCAATGCTTGGGGAAGTAGATTGCAAGAGTCACTTTGATTCCGCGTGGGCTAAGGGTCATTGTGTTTGGAGAACTAATTAGAAGGCCTTGGATGAGCTTAAGAGGTGTACTTCAATTAGTTTTTACCAACAACTCAATCATATTAGGAGTGCTTAGTTTTCTTTTATGTAAATTTAGCAGTTGGCCTTGTGTTCTGCATTTGCAGGAGCCCTCCCATTGAGGGTATTCCTATCACTCTGCGGGATGTCCCACAAACAGCACGAAACGTGACTGGCCTACAAAGGGTTCTCGTATTCCATATGTATAAGAAGCCTTCCCGAAAGAGCCCCATCTTCAATAGCTGTCATTATGTTGCCGTTTCTGTATGTGCTGACGATTGTCGCTGTCAGCTGCTGTGTCTCCGGCCAGGTGCTGTATCCACCGCAGTACACAAACACTCGGATTGTGGGTGGCGAGGAAGCATCCGAGGGCGTGGCCCCCTATCAGATATCGCTCCAAGGAGCAGCCAGTGGACAGCACTCCTGCGGCGGGGCCATCATCGATGAGCGCTGGATCATCACGGCTGCCCACTGTACTCGGGGCAAGCAGGCCACATCGTTCCGTGTGCTGGCTGGGACCCAGGACCTGCAGCAGAATGCAACGAAGTACTACTATCCGGACAGGATCGTCGAGCACTGCAACTACGAGCCGCGCAAATACCGCAACGACATTGCCCTGCTGCACCTGAACGAGTCGATTGCGTTCGACAATGCCACACAGCCGGTGGAGCTGGACCACGAGCCACTGGTGCCCGGCTCCCGACTCCTGCTCACCGGCTGGGGCACTCTGTCGCTGGGCGGAGAGGTGCCTGCTCGCCTGCAGAGCCTAGAGGTCAAGTATGTGCCCTTCGAGCAGTGTAGAGCTGCCCATGACAACAGCACCCGCGTGGACATTGGCCATGTATGCACGTTCAACGACAAGGGACGAGGAGCCTGCCACGGCGACTCCGGCGGACCCCTGGTCCACAATGGCCGTCTGGTGGCTCTGGTCAATTGGGGCATGCCCTGTGCCCGGGGATATCCAGGTGAGTGAGCGCTAAAACTAATTGCCTTGAGTTGGTCTAAGCCTAGCCATTGTGTTTGTCGTCATTAGATGCTCATGCCTCCATCGCATACTACCATGACTTCATACGCACTCACCTGAGTCTTTCCGAAACGGAGACTGCCGAGGGAACTCCGGAGGAAATGAAAGTGTTGAGGAGTAGAAGACATTGCAGCTAAAAAGGATACGGATGATCTCTAACTCAAATAAAGTGAAAATGAGAGCCTTTTTTTGTTTGATCCGCTCATGAGAATCCGGAGACACAATGCTAAAACTTTTCGTACTCATTTGGGATGCATTTCGATGCGGATTTGTTCCGCCAATTGGTTTAGACTTGCTTGGTAAATGGATTTCAGTTGTAATTAGACATTCGAAATGATCGGAGATAGCAAAACGCGGCACTGTTTTCTGTGGCTGCTGCTAGTGTGCCTGGCGGCAGGTCGACATGAAGTAGAGCGGAAATCAGGGCGACATGGACATCACAGCCATGGAAGAACTGTTCATATGCGAAGCCTGAACAATTCAGAAGAGCAAGTTGAGATTGGGGACGTGGTTGCCCCCAGGAATTTGTCACCATGGCAAGTGTCCATACAGGATGGAGCGAAGAACCACAAGTGCAGTGGAGCCATTATAGGAAAGAATTGGGTAATAACGACAGCTTACTGCCTGAGCAGGGCTGATTTAAATAAGTATCGCATTGTCGTCGGCACACAGACACTGGGAGCCGTAAGCCGGTTTCTAAAATCCTACTCAATCGAGTACGCGATCGTTCACCCGCACTTTGACAAGCCCAAGAAATCGAATGATATAGCACTGATCTTCACGGAGCGCAGCATTCAGTTCAACATCCAGGTCAAAGCCATTGATCTCCAGGGCTCACCCCTGCCCAGGGATTCGCTCGTGATGCACACGGGCTGGTCATGGCGGAAGGGAGAGGATAAGAACAAGATGCGTGCCGTCTATCACAGGGTCATTCCATACAAGATCTGTTTGACTCACTTCGACAAGAAGATTCGGAATCCCATTGAGCCCGGCCACTTGTGCTTGAATGTGCCCAAGGACAGTGATTTTTGCCTCAAGGAAACTGGCGGTCTTCTGGTGCACAACAGAAGACTAGCGGGTCTCAGTAGCTTCGGTACTCCCTGCGCCACTGGCGAGCCATTTATAGGCACGCGAATCTCTTTCTACTTTGACTTCATACGGACCACGATGAAGGGATGTATTCGATGCGAGAAAAACACACATTTCGAAGAACGGTTCTTTGATTTGTAGTGCGTCCAAAGAAAAGTAAACAATTTTCTATCAATAATTTCCTTGAAATAAACAAGAAACGATATCTGAATCGATAATAAAAGAACTGTCGCATAAATTTCTCAACTTTTAATACGGACTTCGGTGACAATTGGCAAGGAATGGAATTGAGAATCACTTACACATATATGCAATCGCTTAAAACTTAGACAACATCGGGTGCGAGTTCTATGGGATGACAGCTAACTAACTAGGATCTGGATGTGGCGAGCAATGAAGAATACTTAGTACTGGTTCGCGGGCAGGTAATGATTCCCGATGGCGCCTCCGCCGTTGTTGCCAGCTCCGTTGTCGATGAAGTTTCCTTCGGCCTGCTGCTGCTGCTGCTGTTGCTGCTGCTGCTGCTCCTCTTCGTCCTCCTCTGGGGGATCAAGGGAGCCAACCACGGAGGTGATGGGCGCCACACCCTCGTCGGTGATGGTGGAGCTACCTCCGAGTGTGTCGTACTGCGACTGAATCTGGCGCTGAGCGTTGATGGCCTCCTCGGGCGTGCGGTACTTGATGAAGAACACCTCCGGCTTGTTGATATGCTGCGGAGCATCGGCGATGGCGTCCTGCAGGTCAGCGGCGGTGGTCTTCTTGGCCAGCACATAGACGACCGTCTTCTCCTGCTTCAGGGTCTTGGCCAGGTTGAGGGCGGCGGCACGGTTCGTCTGGGCCGGGGTCTTGACAAACAGCACATTGTAATGGTTGCGCGGCTGCTGGGCCAGCTGATTGAGCTCGTCCTGAACCTCATCGTCGGACTCCTCGGGTGCCGAATGGATGAAGAAGTTCTTGGTCACGATCGGCCTCTTGGGTATCCTCACACGGGGCCGGGGGCGACGATGCTGCTGCACGGGAGCGGTCTGGAAATTGATGGGAAATCCAGCTGGCATTGGGAACGAGCCAGAGGTGGGACGAACGGCCGCCTGGGACTGGTACTGGCCGGCTGGTGGCAGATAGGGCAGTGGCAGAGGCGGCAGCACCGGATGTGACGACTGCTGCTGCTGCTGCTGCTGCAGCTGCTGGTTGAGCAGATGCGCCACAACTGGAGGCTGGAGCTGCACTTGCGACTGCTGCTGCTGCTGTTGGATGCGGTAGTTGTACCCCGCCTGGGTGAGGCTGATGTCAGCCCGGGCCAGCGCCAAGGCGCCCATCAGAACCGTCTGAAAGAGAGAGATTAGGTAATCCTTTCGTGTCCGCTTGGGTAGTCCACGGGCAAACGCACCACAAATATCTTCATGCTGCTGCTTGGCTTGGTCTCTCGCTCTTGTTAGCTGTCTACGCTGGTTGGCTCCTCTCGGTCCGTGTGTCTCTGTGGCTGTGATGATGGGTCAAGTGGCACCGACTCTTTTTATACGGCTCAGCGGCCATAACAAGTTTATAATCGGAAACAAATAATGAAACAGCAGCAGACGCAGAAGCACCAAAGAGTTGCAACAGTTTTGGCCCATAAAACACAAACAACATTCGTTATTTGTTATGCATGGCGACGGAGGCGAAAGAAGATGTTGGATCTGGGGGCTGGATGGGTGGATGGAAATGGAAATGGGGGCTTTTGTATGGCTGTCGGAGACGCCTAACAAAGGTCGAGCGAGAGGCAAGTTTTACAATGGTCTTGCTCATACAGAAACTGGAAGGCATAATCATTCGTCGGGGTGAATATAGATCGAGGGACTAGAGGGAGTAGAGAGATATAGATGACCCTAAATGAACAAAAATACAATTTTGGTAATATTAAAGAACATGTTAGAATATATATGAAATCAGGCCTCAAATTAAACCCAAAAATTAGTTCCTATCTCAAATTCCAAACGAAACCGAACCATAAGTATATACAAATGTTGCTCATGCAAAAGAATAGATGGGTGTAGAAACCATTAAAGAAGTCTCTTCTTTGAAGTTGTATTGTAAAAAAAGTTGGTAAAAAAGTGATAAGATAACGCGAAAATCACGCTGGATCCCCTATACTGTGATCAATAAGAAATTTCCGAGCCATTTACCCAAAAAGAAACTACGATTTGTAACCATTTTGTAAAGTCCCGAATCCTTTTTTCAAATAAACCCCCATAGCGGATTGGTTTGGTTTGTCGTTCGCTTGAAGTTTTTCTGTGAAGTTGAATGACCCAAATTGATACATTTCAATAGAGTATGTATATTAAACAGTATATATTGAGATACGAGACGAGGTTACAAACTTGCTTTTTAATGCACTTTTGTCCGAAATGCCCTTTTGTCTACGCCTTGCTTCATTGTCTGCAACTGGAACTATCAAATGTAAATTGAATATTTTGGGGACTGTATTTTGCATCTGGTCTGTGCTTGACGAGGGCCAAGGTCTAGGTGTTTGTTTTGAAGTGATTGTGCCTAAATATTGGGCGATATATTGTCATCTCTAAATGTGCCAAATTGATCCAAAATGCTCGTAAGTTCGTAGGTTTTGATTTGTGGCCATTGACTGAAAAGTGAAGGTAAGTGAGCCAATAAATCTGAAAGCATCATCTCGAGTCGAAATTGGTGCAGCCTGACAATTGGCTATGGATGATTAGCTTCCAACGGAAATAAGTTGTCATAACAAACGAAAGAAATGAAATAGATGCATATCGAATGAGCCCAGATAATAGCTTCCCTTATAAGTAAAGCTAATTGGCTGCCCTTCTACTGATGGCCGAGAAATAGGGAGCTTCCCATTTCCTTTCCAATTTCAAATCAGAGGAAACATGACAATTTCTTTGCCGATTTCAAAGAGATACTTGTGGTTTCACCCACTCATATGTGGACAGACTAACTTGTGCAAGAACCGAATGCACTGGCTGGAGTGCATCTCATTAGTCGGGGGGGAATTCTGCCCACAAATCAAAGCCACCCAACCTTCACGATGATTTGTTAGCCCACATTTCTGATAGGGGTTGACCGTTGACTGACTCAAAAACGTAGACCAAAACTGGTTTCTCACTTTCTCACGCCAATTTCGTGGGCCATGACGAAAAGCAGCAAAAGGTAGAGAAATGGAAATTTGTTTTTGGCCTGAATAATTTGAAAGTGTGAGGATGAGGGGCATTAAAGATGCAAAGATCTGTCAAAGAAGTATACGATAAATTTCCGCTGGTAATGCGAAACCAGGAATTACTTTGTCATTAATTAATCGACCCAACGCATTTAGACGAAATTTACTTTTTAAAATACACATAAAATAATATTAAGTCAAACGAAATAGAGTGTCTGACCAAAAGAGTTGACCCCTGCCCTGATTAATGAGTGTCAAGCGTTGCCGCAGATCGCATATTTTATGCAAATCGAATAGGTTGCTAAAATGCCCATCTAGTAGAGATATGTATATAAGTAAAAAGACTCGGTGCACAGATTAGCCAAAAGCATAAAAGTGAATGTTGACGGGAGGCAAATTATGATTTGCGTAACAAAACTATTTTAATAATTTATTAATTCACACCATGAGAGATTTTGACATTGGCGGCCTTTGTCCGCTTCTATGCATGGCATTAGCAACCGAATCCGACTCTGACCACAAATCCGCATCCATGTCCATCAGTGGCACATTTGATTGGGCGCTAAACGCCCCTTCGAGGCCTATCAGTCCCACAATAACAAATGCATTTTTGATTATTGCCCTAAAAATGGCTGAAAATTAATTATGGGCCACCTTGCACTCACAACTATTTTTGCATATGGATATGTATGTACAAACAACACAGCATCGATTGTTTTTATAGGCATGTGGAACGAATTCGGGGCTTTGTCTTTGCCGGGCTTAAGCTGACAGTTTTAACATGGGCTCAAGCGTAAATTTAGACAAATGAGTGGGGATCGATATTGGAAGATGTTTGGAAGGAGGGGTTTCGAGTGAACATGTGTACCTTTGATTAATGCTTCAAACGAATCCAAGCCTCGTCTTTGGGCTAACAGAAAGAGAGTTTGAAAGCCAAAGTGCAGATATTACATGCCTATTTAATCCATTGGGTACTTAAGTCATTGAATGTTGGACCCTTTATTAAAAATAGAGTGAAACTAAATACACTCTAAAGCGTTTTTTTTCAAGAATACAAAATAGTGACGCCATACAAAAATGTATAAATAAACCGGGCTCTAGTCCAGAACACACGTATATTGTCGGCGTGGCTTTCTTTAAAGTAGAAAACCCGTCGCGAATTGGAGTTCTGCAGCTGTCGATAGCTCATGTGGGCCCGTGCCAAACTAGAGCCTTCTCCCACATTGCACAGGGTGTCCATCTGTGGAATGCATCGGAGTTACACATGTCCCTGTGGATGATAGAAGGGATAATACCAACCTGATCCCGTGATAAGCTCTGCACACTGGCCTTGACGATCCACTCGACATTCTCGATGCATCCGGGCACTGTCGAGGATCCGTGATACTGATAGTACGCTCCTATTTCACCGTATAGCTCCCTCATGAGGAATATCGAGTTCATTTCATTGACCCTCCATGTGGCCTCATCCACGATAGGCTGACCGCGCAGCGTATCCACAATGGCGGCAATGGCCCGGCTGGGCACATTGGAGACCGCAAAGACGATGCTTACAATAACCAGCCCCTTCGTCTGGTTCAGGGCCTCTTTCAGACTGGCCGCCGACTCGTTGCGGAATACGATCTGAACCTCCATGTCATGGCGCTCACGCTCCAGTAAATGCTCGGCCCCACAATGGAAGTGGATCTGCTCGGCCACATAGCTCAGATCCCTGAACTCCTTGCGGCCACTCAGCCGAATCCTGTGCGTGAAGTTGTGCATAATAACTAGGAAGAAGGTTTCTCTGCCGATTATAAGGATGAATTATTCCCAGTGGTCAGACTCACCCACATATCCGTTGTAGAGCAGGGCCAGATGCGGCTGCTCCATTGATTCGTTGACAATATGGAGCTCTGTTGTTAGGGGTATGGTATATGCCTCGTTCAGCTCGATCGGACTCTGCTTGTTGCCAGTTCTACAAACATCCAGCCAATCATGTTGAGCTACAACTTAGACTATTGAATAATTGAATACCAAACGAAGTCTGTTCGCAGCTTACAAAATTTCCCTTTAATAGAGTGTTCTAAATCCAGCCAATTCTCTTGCGCTGCCACAAATGCCAGTTGAACTGCCAGCATCACAATCACCACGAACGTCATTTTATTCATTTTTTGGCTTTTACATTTTGACAGTACTTTCAAGACTTGATGTGATGTCATCTTTTGATTTTTAAGACAAAAAGATCAACCGAAATATCAGGTAATATAAACATCCCGCACCAGGGGCCTTAATTAGTAACACTCATGATTGCGATCTTACACTTTGTACGAGACAAAAATTAGGTTGTAGGCCCGAATGACTAGATCCCATTCGCATACTTAGAATTTGCAATATACACCCAAAATCTTTGGATTGAATATGCAGTTCCTATCTCTTATTGATGTGCTCTATTACTACTAATGCTCGTCTTCTTTTAACCTCATTTTTGCGGTGCTTTTAGCTTAGATAAGGGAACATAGTCGCGATCTATGTAGAAAACAGATGTATATGCATTCATGTTTATTCATTATTACATGTGCAGAACACAAATTATTGGATTATAGAATTAAAAAAAGAATTGCATTACCTTTCGGAAGATTTTTTATTCGGGTCAATACAATGGCTGTAGCTGAAGTTGCATTGAGCCAAAGTTGAAGTTTTCTAGACATTTTTTTCGAAATTTGTTTGGCATGCTTCTATTTTTAGACTTAAGCGGCATTAGTACTCAACAATGCCATTCGTGGCTGATTAAAATTATAGAAAACTTTCCAATTAGCTCTACGCCAAATTTGCAAAATTAATTCTGTCCGAAGCCCCAAAGTATGCCTCAAATAAAGAAACAATTTTGGGGCTGGGAAATGTATTTTTACATTTATTTGTCAAGGTCGCGTCATCTCTCGGTAAACAAATGTACTACGAGTGTTGTTTAGGGGGGGGGTTTGATGTATGTGGGGGGTACGTCCGGCAACCTATTTGATGCTGCCCCATGTCGGATGCTGAAAGAAACACAAATGATGTATGGCACATCGCCCTGAAGAATATTAGCTGCACTGCTGTCCTTTCTTCCTTGATGCCAAACAGGCCTTTTAAATGAAAGTACTATACTACTATACTATAACAGTATAACATCTGGGTGCTATGAAAGTACATTTGATATGATACATTATAAAGGTTGCTGCGAAACGCTGGCTTCTTCATCAAAGGGAGATGAACTGGATGTTAGTAGAGTTTCGCAAAATCCAGCTATAAAATAGATTTAACCAGTTCCCACAAGGAAGTGTTTTCGGTTCATAATATTTAAGTTCAACAGACTGTCCTTAAGCTCCTGTCAATCTGTAAGCCCAATGAGAACTTAGTCAAGCTCAAAAATTAAATATTGTTTATTTTCAATTACTAATACAGCGTTGCGTTAATCGGAAAGCAAAACGTATGGTTCCACAAAGTATGCAACAGAAATGGATTATCTTATTAGTAAACATTTTTTGCTAAGATTAAACAAACAAAAACCATCTTTTAAGAAGGACTAGATCTAATAACAAAGGCTAGACCACTCTATAGAAAATCTAGCACGAAACAAACACCCGTATTACCCGTGATAATGCTATCAATCTATTGAGTTTACGAATGAAATTGCTCCAAGGAAAACAATATGGTTATATCCCAATCTGATCTATGCCACCGATTAGTTAGAAGTGCTTGTTTTAAAGAATATAAAATTGAAAACCTAATCTGATCATTGCCACCGATTAGTTAAGAGTACTTGAGTAAGTATTTAGATTACAATTTACTGAAATTAATTGGTTCCATTATACTGCATTATTACAAGGAGTCGCGGTTTAATCTTTTGCCTTGGACTATGCGATATTACGGAGGTAATATATTGAGATTGAGCTATCCAATTCTGCTAATTAATGAACGTTCCATTAGATATCCTGTTATCCTCTGCATTTATTGCTTTGCTTTGAATTTTTTTCAGTAATTTTCTGATTGTACAAAGTCCATTTATACCAAAGGCAATCTATAGAATAGGCAATCCTCTTCAAGTATTTAATTACATGTGTTACACTCTGAAAATAATCTTCCACCCCGATTACTTTACAACTCCCTTTACCTAGCTTTTCGAATGGAACCCATATATGGATAGATAAGATTGCTTTTCAGAGCTTGTGCATGCAGTTTATAGTGATTACTTGCCCATCAATAACTCAATAGCCCATCGGACACACAGGCCCCAATCACATTAAGTGCGTCCAAGTGTCATTTCGCAATGAACAACGATGATAAAGTGCGGTCAGCCATAAGCCCAAATCAAATGCCTCAACCGACGACATAGGTCATAAAGTTGATATAAAAACTTGATGCTTTTGTTGTTGTGTGATTTAGCATCATTGCAATACCAATAAGTGTTATCAGGGAACGCAATTGGTCAGTTGACGAAACACTTATCAGTGATTTCTGAATTATATTTGGCCATAACACTTTTTATACCCACCTCTGACCAGTGTGAGTCCCGGAATCAAACTGACCAATGGCCGTAAAATTACGATTACTGGCCCAACTACACCTGGGGTCTTGTGATAAAATAATATATTCAGAAGAACGCAATGGCTCACCGTCTATTTTCGGATACCTGACCATAAAGGTTTACTGGTCATCGACTTGAACTTTCAGCGGACTAGGCGGCCACTTTCAAAGTGGTCGACTTTCAGAGAATACAAATCGAAGGAATGTGTGTAAAATGTTTTTGGTTTTATTGCGACTGTTATATATTTTCGTGAACTTTGCACGCGATGAATCTAACATAAGCTGACTAGCTGACATGTTCTGCATTATAATTATAGCTAATGAGTATTTTAACTCTGCGTCTCTGCGTCTCCCTGTCATGGATATCTTCTCAAAAATTCGTTGTAGCTACACTGAGAACTTCAGTGCATTCTTTGGTACGAGTATGTCTATGGCTGCTCCTCATCTGCATCTTCTACTCTCCTTTCTGCTCGGCTAAGCTCCGACCCGCATCTACAGGACGAACTTCTGGGCCGCCAGTCCGAGTATCAGGATCAGGCCGAGAGAGGCCGTGCGACCAGCTGCGGCGCCTGAACGATTATCATCAAGCTCGACCAGGACCACGGCTCGGTTGTTAATGCTCTGAAGGTTCCTGAAGTTGTTGTGCAACTGCTTGCCATTTGAGTACTCGATTTCTTTGAACTGCTCGACCTGCTCCAGGGTCACGGGAAGCGTCTCGGTGAACACAATCCAGATCACGGCCTCGGCACAGGATGGCGTAGTTAAAGAACCAGCATAGGTGTAATAGTTCCCCGTTGACTGTGGCATCAGATCGTCCACCGCCAAGGAGCTGGACACCGTAACGGGCTTGTTGATGCGACTGTATTCCTTCACGTCCTCCAGGTTCTTGATGATGGAGGCGATGGCATCATTGGGTGTATTCGAAACATGAAAGAGCACGCCGAGGACCACAATGCCGTCCTTAAAGTTGGTCGCAATCGTCATGTTGGGATAGAGCTTGTTGCGGTGCACAATATGCACTTCCAGGGGGTATCGCACGCTATTGATGGTATGCTCCGACCACCAGTGCAAGTGGATCTGCTCCAGCTCGTACTCGTGCGCCAAGCCGCCACCCTCCATCACCAGCACATCATCAAAATCATCGATTTGTACTATAAAAGAACTCAGTTTTGTTAGCGCATAATTTCAGTGCTTGGATCACTCCACTCACTTGAATGGCCATTGTTGACCATTTCCAGATTCTTCTGGACGTAGCGGTACTTCTGGAACTTCAACGCATCGAACTTGCCCCGGAGCGACCACTTGGCCGCCAGATTGATGGGGCTCTGTCTCTTGCCACTATCGCACAGACCGCCCCAATCGGGAAACGCTGTATGGATGAGAGAGACAGACAGGAATTAGCAATACATCAATGTCCAAATTTCAATGAAACTTGTTGCAAATCAATTTCCATTATTCAACTTTCCGACAGTTTTCATTAGAAATTAAATGCTCATAAATCAAAATTCCTACAATTGAATATAACTCTATCCCGAAATTCGGTAGAATTTCCGCAGAATTTTGAAAGTCAGACCGGTCCAAATTGATCATCATTCACGATATACGCGTACTCTGTCCAATTTGCATACCCAGCAATTTGGCGCAATTTAACTAAGCTCCGACTCAAGCCCGGAGCGTGCACGTTAAGTGACCCGACCCGGACACACACAAATGGCCACCGTAAGCGAATATGCGAATAAATATACATAGACCTCCTCTATGTGTCTATGCAAAGCACTTGACAATGGAAATGGGCCGAGTAACCTACTCCCGCGTACAATAGCAAAAAGCGAGGGCCAGTGCCTCCGCCTCTTCCACTCTGGCGTTGATTAAGTAATTTTAGCAAATAAACTTGAATGGCTGCAGATTGGCATTACTTACGCGCATCCTTATTGTTGTCCAAGTCCGGATAGCCCCACTCGTTGGCCCAGCTGAGTCCCAGAGAGCAGCACACTGCAATGCGAGATAGAGGTTGTTACACACATATAAATATCAAGTATACGCACTGTGCAAATGGGAACGTTTTAATGGCAACCGTTTACAAAACGTGTAAACTTCAACTTGACCGACAATGTCGCTCGGAATGCTCAGGGCCGAACACACTAAAACCTGCAGCTGGGTCTGATGTATGGGCCCATAAAATTCGGGTAAAAAGCAAAGAGAGGAACCGGGCGACTGTGGGACGGTCAGAGGGTGAATCTATATAATGTTTTTGGCAGCGTCAGCAGACGACAGCACCTTGCACTTGAATGGTGCTAAAAATACACGTGAAATTTATGATTTCCACCACATATTGTACATATATTTTGTATATATAAACGCGATTATTTTATTTCAATCAGCTGCTGCCGATGGCATTAATGTTTCATTAACCTGTACAAAAATTGGACCAAAATCATTTCTTTGTCCACTGCGGCTTTCTCTTTCTTTTGTTGGCTAAAAGCATTTTGACATTTGCACATCAAAATATCAACTAAATTTTATGCGTGCGGCCTGGGCCAATTTTTACGATCCATTTGTGTATTTAAAAAGCACTGACCCATCAGCATAACTCTGGACCACTGTGATCTGCGATCAACTATATGTGTTTATTGAGACATAACCAGCATTAATGGGTTAATAAAAAGCCCGCAAGCAACTCGGTTAATTTATCGCCATTTTCTGTGTCTAATCTTTGGGAAATTTATGCTCTCTGCGAGACAATTTTGCGAGTTTTCCCTGCAGGCGACAAGCGACAACGGCAGCTGTGAAAGTTGAGTACTATATACAATACATATTCCGCCAGGCAGTATAAATATATTAATATACTTTCTGCCGGCGGAACGTGTTCATCGGCTGATGTGTGCATAGTATACGAGTGGTTTCTTGGGTCGCCGTCGCCCTGTGACGCAATGGTTCAGAGGGAAAGATTTCCAAGTTATGCCATTTGTTTGCGATTAGACAGAACCTAATATTTCATTTTTTTTCGATTCTGTACGGCCTCTGATCCGCGGGACTTTAATGAGTTTTTAATATTTTTTTTTGTGAGCACATGGTAAACAGGCAGAGTGTACTTAGAGATTTGAGTGGCACACTACTTGAATTTGTACTGAATGATGGATAATAAAGCAATAAATTTCATTTCGAATTTTAATGAAGAAATGATCACAAGACCGAATAGGTGTATCACGCGTTTATATAATATTTTCTGATTCATTTCCCGAGAGATCAAACGGCAAAAGGGAAATGTTGAAAGAATCACTGGATCTTGATCGCTTCCGAAGTGTTTTCCGTGTGGAAATATGCCAAGCAAAAGTCGAGCAACAATTTAAAGGGCAATTAGATTTTTTGCACATGCAAAGCTCGGACAATTACATTTGAGTGGATAAAACTTTGATAGTTGATAATGGGAATAGTGTTTCTGTAATTTGAGACCCCGGGGTGTAAAAGTTAACAAAACTGTAATTGCATACGGGCAATGCAAATGACGGATAATCATGTGAAAATCAGCACAAAACAAACAACGGCCACTGGAAAAGGGAAATGCCTAGCCACCCCCCGAACACCCCCGATCAGCCGATAGCGTCAAATGAAAATATCTCACTCGAAACTGACTGGAATAGAATCGGAATTCTGCATCATGTTGCACTGTCTCTGGCTGGCTGCTGTTCGTCATCCGCTGGTCGTCGAGTGGCTGTGGCATTACCCTGACTTGTCTCGGCTGTTTATAACCGCATTTCGGCCATGTCAGCTAAAATACTCGTATAATTGGAACGATTTCGCATAGCTCAGCAGAGGCGATAAAGACTCTGTCTCCGACGATACTTCTGCTCGTGTGTGTTTCTGTCAAATCACTGCCGTATCGAGAGCACTCAGTGATTTTCCAGACCGAATTTTATATAGGTTTTACTGAGCCCTATAATCAAAGATATATTCCCCACCGATAAAAAATTTCGGGAGTGCGCAGGGTTTTATATTCTATTGTCATTTTATCGTTCAGGGGGCGTGTGAAGACTGTGATAAGCTCTGATATACCGCTGGTCATGTGAATGAAGATAATTGGAATAGATTGGGGCTCTCTTTCAGCTAATATATATAATAAATAAATTAATATAATGTCGGTATTCCTTTTGAAACCGACCAAAGAAATTTGCACGCTAATTTTTGGCCTTTTATTTGAAGAAGAACTTCCCCATGTAATACAGAAAATAATCTAATCTGTTGCCTTGCCGGGCACACAATTCACAGAGAATGCCTAATCAGAGGGCCAAACTTTGGTTTTTATGAATTGCCTTAACAGTGTGACGTTTGTCTGGATTGCTAACCATAAACTTTTGCTTTGATTGCTTTAGGGCTGGGTGCATGGATGATCGATTGTGAGAGTGGGCTAAAAAATTTCCATCCATTAGGCAGTTTAACGGACTTTGGGCCCTGAAGAGTGCGAGTGCATGGGGAAGACTGTGAAAGGAAGTTGATTAAAGTGTTGAAAACAAACAGCGGAGATAGTGAGTGAGCCGGCCCAGGCCAAAGATCTTTGTAAACAAAAGTTCAGTCGCATCAGTAGGAAGCGGCTGCTATCACGAATGCCTTTCGCTGATATTCTCGCTCTGTAAATTGCAGTTTCACTTTCGATCGGCCAGACAAAGCCAGAAGGCCCCAGCAGAACGCTTCATTGGTTGCCAATGGAAATGAATGGAGCCCCGTCTGGGAGGGAGGAAGTGTACACCAGATTCGGACCCACGTCATTCACAAAGAGGGGTAGCCCTAATCAGAGCTAACAGCCACTGTGCCAGAAGCCAGCAGCCAAAATCAATCGCATGAAGTAGCAAATATATTTATACACATTTAATCACACGCCGACATATGACTGTCATATATCTTTGGCAGAAATCGCAGCTAATCAGAGGCTAACTGCTACACACATGGAGTACATATGTACATACATGGAGGCGATAGGGAGTGCGCGGCAGTGGCGCCTTGTTATTGGGCTTTAGTGGATCGATTAGGCTTAATCGAATCGCGCAGAGATCCATAAACCGAATGTTGTTAATTGCCAGTTAATCGTTTAATATTCATTGCCCTCAGACGCGGACCCCTGGCCACATTCTTCTCTCTCTCTCTCTTCAGATTCGCTAATCAAGGTGGTAAATCTACAGTTAGCATCTTATCGATCGATGATTTCTTGAAACTACTCGTGTACTTTATAGACCAGCTTTTGATTATCTTGATTGGGTCAGCAGTTTTTCCTCGCAGCTATAAATTTACGAAATTTTTAACATTCGGTGACCCCATCGCACGGGATGACCGCTTGATGCGTCTGGTGTCTGTGTCTGTGTCTCTGCCGCTATCTGGTGTTAAGCGAATTAAATGGGTTTTTTTCCAAAGGCCCCCGCCAATGGCAAACAAGCCGGCAATAGATTGCCTCTTATTCCGATATCTGCTCGGGCGCGTGATCCGTGTCCAAAGTACTACTCTTCTGAAGTGCTTTGGAGTGCTTCGACTAGAATGTTTTGGATGGCAAGGGCTTAGTTTTTTGATAGGCTCGGCATTGGAGAAGGCAACATGAATCACATGGAAAAATCCCCGAATTTTATCGACTTACATGAAGAGCATAACACATACATGTTGCAATGATTTTGAGTAAATATTGAAACTGAATTCGAGCAAATAAAGACATGGAAGGCGGAGAAGAAAAAGTCTTTCGCGCTACTTAGCTGAATGTATGGTAAATGGTAATATTTACAGATTGGAGCCCTTCTCCCAAGTATTCCATTTTACAGCATTATCGGTTGATTTGCCATTTACGATCCCAAAGTGGTAATCATAAACACCTTGCTGGCTTGGTCCCTGACCTATTGGCTGATGATTCACCTATGTGGCATTATGGGGCTGATTTCGGGTGTCATGATTCATAAGTTTATTGTAACTAAGGAGTTCCCCAATCCAACACGACACTTCGAACGATACCAAATACAAATAAGAACCCTGATCTACGCCACCGCGGCAGATCTGTCTATGTACTTTCAGTACTGGCAATCAGCGCTAGTCCCAGTCCATTTGTAATTTACGATCACAAAGTACTACAAGTATCTGGCATCTTATCAACTCAAATGATCAAAATAATTACAGAAAAAACGGCAAGAAAAGCAGCTACAATTTGAGTGCGGGCGAATGTGTCGGAACTTTTAGTGTCGGATCAAAGACGTGACATTTTCGATATCCATAGGTTAAAGAATGCCATCAATGCATATAGCCGATTGGAACTCCGATTTGAGTCGGGTTTGAGGTAGTCGTAGGTTTAATCACTGCCGTGAGAAGTCGGAGGCCATTCAATTCCCTTTGAATGTCTCACAGGTGTTTAACACGTAGTATATCCACACAAGAAACTAAAATAGATATTTAATTGAAATTTACCTAGTATTGAGATGGTAACGAAATGCATTTTCCCGGCTTGAATTTTTGTAAACTATTTTGCAGTAATATCACTTTAAATGCTCTTTCAATGACACTATTTTCAGTTTTAGTTTCACTTGGAATATTTTTTGTTGTTTATTTTTTGCTTGTTTAGAGACTGCCAGGCAGGACACTGAACCTTTGCGGTCTCGAAGAGAACTCCATCAAAGTGAGGCACGGCACGCGTCTTTTATAACTGCGAACCTCGGGGTGGGCCAAGAACAGAACCCGCAGCGGTCAGGCACAGAATGATTACTGACAAGCGATGCGAGCATCGGGCACTGCACACACACACTGGCATACACCCACTCTCCCACACTCGCACTCACACACACACTCGCACCCATACCCATGCGACATAGTCATGTGCACTCACACACCCAGAAGCGAGCGAATTGAATTGAGTTATGGCAACGATACTCGCATGGCACTCAGGTTGGTGTGCTCTTTATTTAGTTTTTGTTTTTTTTTCGGGTTTTCGGTTTTCCGTTTTCCGCTCTCGCCCGAAAAAAGTTGACAATAAAATGGAGCAGATTTTAACGAACCCAAACGCACACCCAAGCAGCAGCTGCAGCAACAACTTACACACACACAACCGCGAAACAGCGATAGTAGCTTAGGCGAGGGAAGAAAATTGCAATCCCCGAACCAGCGTCGCGGTTTAGAAGCTGATTAATTGATAAGCAGGTAGAACATGCTGGGTCTGGGCGGGATTCCGACTATAAGATACCCGTTACTCCGATTTATAATGGATGCAGTAGGTAGAATTGTTTCCAATTTGGAGGTTTACTGGATCTAAGATCATTGATCGGCGCATTCGGAAGTGCTCGTGGGTACTAAATAAATGATATTGATGCCAGCAAATCAATACGAAACAATTTTGTATCATTAAATGCATAGGAGGCTTTTCTTTTATGGCAAATTTTTACAGCTAACGCGTGATTTGACAACTGTAAACGGTCGTAGAACATAAATGAGAGTGCGAGAGAAGAAACGGCACAGGTCGCACGCTCTCTCCCACCCACACCCAGACACACACACACCTGCAGATGAAAAGCAGAGAAAGATAAATAGAGAAGCGCAGCGCAGTACAGGATATAACGTTTACGTTTATCACACAAATATCAAGATCAAGCAAATCATTTTGACACATTTCTGAACAGAAATGTTAATTGAATTTGAATTAGAATTAATATTAATTAAGTGTGTGGTGCTGAGCAGACCAATTGTTGCACCCATATGCATTTTGAGAGAGCACAGCACAGCACAGCAGAGCAGAACAGAACACACAGAACAGAGAGACAAATGCTAATTGAACAGACAAATTCTTGTTGAAAGCAATTGCAGTGCCGTGCGCGAGAAAGGGAAAGGAGAAAAAGCCACAGCTGCTGTCGTCGCTGTCTTTTGTTGACCATTTCGACGTCGAGTCGACGTCATTAAAGTGCAGTTAATGTGCCAAAAGGCAGAACAAAAGTCAATGTCAAACGGCAGCAGCTGCCGAAGGAGAAGGACAGAAAGAGAGAGCAGGATTAGTGGGTGTGTGTGTGCGTGTGTGTGAGTGTTTCTTTGGGTGAGTGAGAGGGCAAAATCTGAATGCATTTCCGCAACAAATCGCCTCTTGACAGTAATTACTGCCAGCGCGAATGGCAATTTATGACTATCAGAATCACAGATCTTGATACCCTGTAGCTGTAGGGCGGGTCACTTCTAAGCATAGGTGGAGAGGCTTTCAAGGGCGGGATAACGGGTCATATGCTATGATACGACCATGGAGTGATCCGGATTCTGGTGGGCAGCACAAATCTCTGTGAATGTTTCATGCACATAGTTTAAGATATTCATATATGGACATATATGTACATACATTGATTATTAAACTGCAAATCCCTATCGCTGGACAAAGTATTTCGCCGCCTGAAAGCAGGTGCGATGGTGTCGAGAATGCTGCCTCATCTGCGTTGCAAACTCTGTTTTCCAATCAAACTTTGGGTCCATTATTGGGTCTGACGGGAAAAATTTCTTACCTCTCGATCTGGTGACATCGCTTTTCCCTAAATCAGAATGGCATTCCTCAAAAGGTTATATGTATATCTTTTGTCTTTAGTTTAAATGTTACCTCTATAATTAGATTTTAACAATTTTTAAACAGAATTTGAGGACAGGTTTTGAGTGCGTTTCTATATTTTTTCAGAACTAATAATTAAAAAATGTATTATTGTTGGTACATAAAGATTTTTGAATCTTATTGTTTTATTTATATTTTGTTACATTAATGTATTCACTGAAGAACATTTTGAAGAATACGAAAAAAATATTCGATTCTAATATTTTTTCCATAATTTTACGTAGTTGTATGCCGAGGTCATAGTTAGTTGTGATCAAGAGCTCAGACGACTACCTCAATTAGCACACGAACATCAGGGTATGACGGATATGATATGATATAGTGATACCCAAGTCAGGTCCAAACCAAAACACAATAGAAGGCTGCCAGATAACTAGATAGATGCCATATTGCCTCGCGATGATCAATCTATTAGCTGATTAGCCTCAGATTTAAAACTGAGATTCTTTTTCTCTTCTCTGCTTTGCATTCCAAGTGGATTTACTTTGATCCTCTTAAGGACAGTGTGTTTGAGTTCCATGAGTACAGGGTGTTCCAGTAGCTGTCATCTGCAGATATATGTTTGAAGGTCCATAGTCCTAAAAGATTTAATCGTTCCAATTTAGTGTATGACCATGAAATTGTTGCAATTTGTTGATATATTGTATGTATAGTCGCTAAACAAATAGCGAGATTGCATGTTTTCGAACGCAGGTCTTTCGTTTTGTGTGTTTCTTCCGACCCGATCCCAAATATTCAGTGTCCCCACCCAGATATAATGGGGTTATAAATAGACATCAATGCACTGCACCTTTTACTACCGTACTTTTATCAGGCATTCACCATCAGCGCAGCGCGGTGTTTGAATGCATTTTATGAATAGCGCAAAAAAAAATCAACAAAAACACTCGCGCACAAGTTTTACAAGCGCGTCGACTAACGGCCCGGCAACGTCACGCGATTGGATTGGGGGTTGGGGTGGGCGGGGAGGGCGCTCATGAATGAACCCCCCATGTGACAAATTGTGGAAATGTTTGACCTCAATAGTCGTTACAATTACATTAAGCGGCAAAGGGCCAACAAGAATGTGTGTAAGAGGTCCGGGTCCGGGTTTCGTTGAACAAGTGTCAATCGGTGGGCGCCAGATGGGAATTTTGCAAATTAAAATCGAATTGAAATCAATTGAAGTGCGGAGAGCGGAGAACATGTGATTTTTATGGGATCGCCAACGAGCGAACAATTCAATTAAGATGTTAAATTAGCGCCGCAAAGCGAGCATCTCCTGTTAAAATCAATCAGAGCAAGATCGCAGATCAATAATATACTCTATGGGAGCATAAAGTGTACACGAGCAATATCAGGTTTGATGTTCTTATGAAACTGATAAGAAATTTCTGCTAGAAAAAATTCTCCGATCCTACAATGTAGCTTAGGTAGCTAACGAATCTATCCTTATTTTTGTTGGGTCATTTGATTTTATTTCAAAATGTGGCGCCTACTAGCTACGGATGACAAATTTAAACTATTTAATGTATCGATATTTTAGTGCGATACATTTTATCGAACGTTTTGGGATTTTAGTTTGCTGTCATATGGAAAATATTCATTTTGTGTGGTATTTTTTCAAATTTCAGTTTCGGTCACATGCAAACGCTGCGAAAGAGGTGTGAAGCAAAAACGAAGAGAACGCAGCGCAGCCGAAAAAAAATTTGAAGCAGCACTGCACGCGTTATATTTCTATTTTCAAAAGTTTATAGCAACATTTAAAGTGATTTGCCAGTCGAAATTAAAGGATAAAAGTGCCGGGCAGCCGTAAGTTAACAAATCTTTACAGCATTTGACGTATTGCAGGCGCTTTGGCCGATTCGAAAATTTAGCAAGAACCGAAAAAGCGAAAAAATTTTGCACAGCGGCGACGACGGCGGCGGCAGAAGTAGAAGCAGCAGAGCGGCTGCGGCGAATACGAATGTTGTTGGCCAAAGGGAGCGGGAGTGTAGCTGAAAGATGAAAAACGGCTACGCAACGAAGTGATAATATAGTTAAATAGAATTTACACCACCATCCCAGGGTATCAGATGAAGTTTTGGAGTGGAATTATGTGTAAATTTGATATGTAAAATCGGCATGTGCCGTGTGCCGTGGAGGGGTGTGTGCGTGCTCGTGTGTGTGTGTGTGTGTGTGAAATTCTTATTGGAAAAGCGTGCTCATCAGTGTGAACGAACGTACGAGGCGAGCGAAACATTTCGGCGGTGGCGGCTGCGGCTGCTGCTCTGCCGCTGTGGTGGTGTGCGTGCGTGAGAGGGAGAGCGCGCCGCACACGCTTTTTTAAGGTGGTGTGGAAGACACACAAAAGAAAGACAAAGAGGAAGAGGAAGCACTCCGCCGCTGCGCTGCCGGCAAAAGCGTGCTGTGCTGCCGACGTCGCTGCATTTTGTTCAGCCAGGAATTTCTGGCGCTGGCCCCAAAATAACTTCAAAAACATTTTGATTGCCATTGGGCCGCTGCTCACTCTATCATGCGGCATCTGTCAATATGTACTATATACAACCCAAAAATATCTGTCAAATCTGTTTTTATTGTTGTGTGTTCCTGTGCTAATTGCATTTGATTTCCAGGAACCTCCGCAGAAGCAAGCGAAAAGACTGATTACAAAGTAGTGGAAGCATCCAGGACTAGGACCGGGAATTGTTATAAGGAGAGATACTCAAGAGAATCAACTCATCTGCAACGAAATCGAGAACTGCAACTGTCAAAGTCACAACAAAGAAGGAGCGGGAAACGGGAAGCACAGCAAACTGCATTCGGCTAGGACAAGCCGTGCGTGAGAGTGCTGGAGGAGGAGCAGTCGGGAAGGACATCAGGATAACAGGATAACCCAAGCCACCATCAGGAGCAGCCGCAGCATGGAAGATCTATTGGTGGAAGTCCGGCTCGAAAATGGCGCCTACTACAAGGTGAGCCACTGGCCAGAGGGGTGGGCGGTATAGTGTGTGTGTGTGAGCGCTTTGGAGAGAGATGTCGCCTGTTCCCCGTGTGGATACGGAGTTTTTGGGAGCCCTGCCCCATGGCGGCTGTGTGCCTCAGTTTCTAATTTTGTGAATTTTAGCTTTATTTCTATAAATAACTGCAACATTTGTTGAGTGGAGTCTCTCGACATCATCGCCGCCTCACCACGCACACTAGTGCACAGTGACGCAGGCGCCGCTGCTTGCAGCGCAGCGTGGGGGTGTTAGCGTTGGCGCTGGCAGCGCTGCTTACTGCGCTGCCCATTGACGCGATTCAAATCTGATGAATTTCACTTTCTAAACCACGAGATTTACGATTGATCCATCTCGAAATCTGCTGAAACACGACCGCATATATATTTTGCATACTTCTGCCTTTGGATCCGATGATTCGTAAACAAACAAATTCCCAACTTTTGGCGGTGCAATGATTCAGCAGCGTCGAGATAAGAAAAAAAGATCATCGTCATCACAGCTGCAGGGAAAATCATGGCGTTCTTGCAACAACAATCTATAGGTCGTAGGGCGCGTAATGTGGGATACCCGATCTTGCATTGTTAATGCCTTTTAGACCGCCAATCATAAAAATATCATTTATATATATAGCTAAATGAAAAATATCATAGGCATAGGCCACATTAATGACACACATTTTTCTCTCTGTTTTTACCAATGCTCTACCTCGTGCCGCGTGCCCTGCCCTGTGTCGTCTATGCAACAACCAACTAACAACAACTACAACAACAACACCTGCAAATGCAACAAAAACAGGGCCATGTGACAGCTGTCGCCGATGATGGCATCTTTGTGGATGTGGATGGGTAAGTAAAAAGTCGAAAACAACTCCAACCGCTAGCGCGAGTGCGAATGCTTGAGCGAAATTTGTAAGATGTATTTTCCAACTAATTTGCAACAATTAATACAATCAGAGCAACAACAGGGACCACAACAACCAACGACTGCGGCTGAGGGTCGTCTTTTTGGCATCGAAATTAGAAATTAGAGATGCCGGCCACGCATCATTTGCGAGTATGCTGCCCTGTCCTGCTCCTGCCACAGCGCACGCCCCTCCCGTCGTCTGGCAAATGTTTAATTTGACGCAATTTGTTAAACGCCGCTGCTGCACAAACTGCTGACTGACGACAGACAGACCGACTGACCAGGGCGATCCACGACTGTCCACCACTGTCCGCCCCACTCTGACAGCTTTTCAAAGGCAATAACTGTGTAGAGTGTGGCACAGAGAGAGAGCAAATGGCCAGGAGGCAAGCGGCGTAAGGCAGGGCCTGGCCAGGCCGGCCGTATCTGCCAGAACTGTCAAGTGCGAGCGACAAATGCCACTAAGCAGCGGCGCTGCTGCCGCCTCGGCCAGCGTCAAAGGCGAAGCTATTTTTAACCGCGGAAAGAAACCATTTATATATATTTATTTATTTCCAACCTGGTTATGAGGCTCCATTCGTGCAGTTTGTAACGCGAGGGATCTCCAAATGGAAGCCCAACGGAGATAGGCGATATAGAGGGACGGCAGAGCCTCTACTTGGGGCTAAAGGAATTCAAGATTAGATTGTAAACTTAAATTAATTTGTACTTCTTATAGAAAGTGTATACAAATATCGTTGTGCTGGGTATAGTTTTTGTAGCACTGCATTTCTTGTGACATTTTTGGAACGAAAGTTGTTCGATTTTTTGGGTTTAAATTCGTTGTTGTCTCGTCCATCTTCCATCGCGCATCTTCCCGCCTGAGATTCACTTCGAGCTGAGAGCAGCTGGATCTAAATTTAGGTGCACCCCACTATCCTGTGGCATTTCCGATCTGCGGCCTGTGTCTCGTGGCGGGAATCGGGACTGCCGGACTGCCACCCACCCCCACAATGGTTCTTGTTCTCACAGTTGTTGCTTCTTGCTCTCGCTTGGCCCTCTGCCAGTGCCAGAGCCAAGGCAGCTGCTGCTGCTGATGCCGCGTGCTGTCTTCGGTCTGGTCTGGTCTGGTCAGGTCTCTGCCGGCGTTGGCAAACACCTGTCTGCGGGATTCTTTTCATAAATTGGGAAATGCATTTTAATTTAATGAGGTTTTCTTTTGCTTGCTTCCTTCCGCTTACCCAACCAATAACCGATCCGATTGCAGCGTGACCGAAGTGAGGAAGTATCCGTTTGTGAGCGTCCGCCTGCCGCCAGAGGAGACCGTCGAGGTGGCGGCACCCACCTTTGAAGAGGGCATGGAGGTGGAGGTGTTTACGCGCACAAATGAGCGCGAGAACTGCGGCTGGTGGGTGGCCGTCATCAAAATGCTCAAAGCGGACATCTGTGCGGTGGCCTACATTGGTTTCGAGACGCCCTACACCGAGATCTGCGAACTGGGTCGACTGCGCGCCAAAAACTCAAATCCGCCAATCACAGCCAAGTCGTTCTACCAGTTCACGCTGCCCGTTCCCGAAGAGCTGCGCGAAGAGTGAGTAAACATCTCGGATAGCACCAAGAAAATGCAGAAATTACAGTCTGCCATTTGTACATTTCAGAGCCCAGAAGGATGGCATACACAAGGAGTTTCAGCGCACAATCGATGCCGGCGTCTGCAACTACAACCGCGACCTCACCGCCCTCATTGTCCTTTCGAAATGGGAGCACACTCAGAAGCGCGCCAGCATGCTCAAGGATATGCATTTTCGTAATCTCTCACAGAAGGTTCGCTCGCTCTTGCCCCCACCCCCACCGCAACCTTCCACTGAAATGTATCCATTCTCCACTCTGCGTTCTCGTTCAGGTTATGCTCTTGAAAAGGACTGAAGAAGCTGCCCGTCAGCTCGAAACGACTAAACTGATGAGCCGAGGGTAGGTCCTGCTGCTAGCAACCCACAACACATTTGAATCTGTTTTTCTAACTATCTGCCTTGTGTTAATGTTGCAGGAATTACGTTGAGGAATTCCGAGTGCGCGACGATCTCATGGGGCTGGCCATTGGCTCGCATGGCTCGAATATACAGGCGGCACGCACGCTGGTCGGCGTCACCAATATCGAGCTGGAGGAGAAGTCCTGCACATTCAAGATCAGTGGCGAGACCGAGGAGTCAGTGCAGCGCGCGCGCGCCATGCTCGAGTATGCCGAGGAGTTCTTTCAGGTGCCCAGGGAGCTGGTGGGCAAGGTAATCGGCAAGAATGGCCGCATCATACAGGAGATTGTGGACAAGAGCGGCGTGTTTCGAATCAAGGTGAGTGCTGTGAGTATTGTACGCTAGCAAAGAGCCCCAGACCTAATCTGTCCCACGCCTCCTTCGTCGATGATCCACACACACGCACACACACACTCACAGATCGCTGGCGATGACGAGCAGGATCAGAACATCCCACGTGCGCCGGCGCATGTACCCTTTGTGTTCATTGGCACCGTGGAGAGCATTGCGAATGCCAAAGTGCTGCTGGAGTATCATCTGTCGCATCTGAAGGTAAGCGTCTGAAATAGAAGCTTGTGTCAAGCAATTGTTGAGCACACATTGTTTTGGCCAACTGCAGGAAGTGGAACAGCTGCGCCAGGAGAAAATGGAGATCGATCAGCAGCTGCGAGCCATACAGGAATCCTCGATGGGCTCCACAACAAGCTTCCCCGTCTCAAGGCGCTCAGAGCGCGGCTACAGTAGCGACATTGAGTCGGTGCGCTCTATGCGCGGTGGTGGCGGCGGCCAGCGCGGTCGTGGTCGTGGACGCGGTGGCGGCGGACCTGGTGGCAACGGCGGCCTCAACCAGCGTTATCACAACAATCGACGCGACGAGGACGACTACAACTCCCGCGGTGACCATCAGCGCGACCAGCGAGGCTACAACAACGATCGTGGTGGCAGCGCCGGTGACGGCACTGGCAACTACCGTGGCGCCGGCAACAACCGTCGCGGTGGCATCAATCGCCGGCCGCCACGCAACGAGCAGCAGAACGGCAGAGACTATCAGCACCACAATCACACCGAGGAGGTGCGAGAGACGCGCGAAGTGAGCAGTGTGGAGAGGGGTAGGTTAAATGAAACACAATTAAACAATTGGTGGTTCAATTTGAATGTTTATTTCGTAATTACTCATAAATCACATCTTCTTCCCTTTGCTTCCCGCAGCAGACAGCAACTCGTCGTACGAGGGCAGCTCGAGAAGGCGCAGAAAGCAGAAGAGCAACAACGGGCCCAGCAACAGTGAGTAAAGCTTGATGTAATCCCTTCTCTGGTGTAATCCTGGAGCCTTATCCTTTCGATCTGACAGCAAACGGTGCGGTGGCCAACAACAGCATCAAACCACAACAGCAGCAGGCGCAACAGCTGCCACAGCAGACTGCGGCGCAGCCGGGCAAGACGTCGCTGAATGCCGCCGGGGAAAACAGCAAACAGAGCAGCATTGGTAATGCGAACACCGCCAGCGGTACGAGCAAGCCCAAGGATCCATCGCGTAATAGCGACAAACAGCAGGCGGGCGGACAGCCACAGCAGCAGCAGGCGCCGCAGCAACCACCGCAGCCACAGGCAGCGCAGCAATTGCAGCAGCAGCAGCAAATAGCTCCACTGCAGCAGCAGCCGAAAGCGCGCCGTAACAACAAAAACCGCAGCAGCAACAATCACACGGATCAGCAGGTCGGCTCGCAGCAGTACCAACAGCAGCAGCTGACGGAGAACATCAAGAAGGAAGGTCTGGTGAATGGCACGTCCTAGGCGGAGAAAGGGAAGATACCGAACCACACAAAAGGCCGCATCGCTCGAGTAAATTAACGTTCGACACTAGGCTGTATGCGTAGAGGGCAGAGGAATAAATATTAATGTTTATATCGTTAAAAGTCGCCGTTGCCCCCTCAATACCGAACAACTGCAACAACACCAATACCAACAACTGAAACTGAAACAACAACCACAACAACATCTACAGGCAACAACATCCGCAAATAACATGTTCGAGAAGAGAAACTAAATGAGTAACTAAAAAAGGAAATCATAAATTAAATATACATGAGATATGTAATAATTGTAACAGCATATACTAACACCCACACACACACACACGCCCGCAACCACACCCACAGCCACTCTCATTCACATATACATACACACAAACACACACACACACACACAGTTCGAATTATACACAAAAGAATTATTAAATAAAATTCATGGCTAGGCTTATAATTTAAATTGAGAGTTAACCTTGCTTCGATAACAATCAAAATGAATGAATGAATGAACAAAAATGAATTATATTTATGTACGAATATAAAACCAATTCAAAAGCAATTATTATCATGCGAAACGAATCGAGACAAAAGGAAATTTAAATATGTAACTAAAACTTAAACCCTGTTCCAGGCAATTATCGTAGTTTTTCGCAAAATGAATGTCGGCGGAGATGAGCCTCGCTTCCAAAGCGCCCCTCCCGTCAAACCCGAAGAGTTTCGATTATAAATATTGTAGTTAAAAAGGAGAACCATGTAATTGAAATATTTTGTGTGTGTTTTGGTTAAACAATTATTTTAAGTTTGTTAGTTTTTTGTGTGTAATTCGTGCGTGCAGACTCACTGAATCGCCCAGCAGTTTTTTCATTTTTTAAATATCATTATTTTTGTATTATTATTGTTTAGTTTACAAGTGTAAAAGCCACGACAAACAAAAGGGAATCGGAGGCGAGTGCGCAGCGTTTTATTGTTTCTTTTGTGCGTTACAACATGGAAAATCCTCTCTTATTTGTATAATGTTGTATTTATTCACTATTATTAACACACCCACACACACACACACACACACACCACTCACGAATATACACACATACGTACATACACTAGTGCACGCGCTCGCTCATGCAAAGGAGCATTCGGAGGGAACTGCATTGAATTTGATTTTGTTTTATGAATATGTATACTTATAATTTAGTTGCCAAAACCTACAACGCGTATACTAACTTAGTCCTCTATTGAATACTCTTAAATTATTTAAACACCAACCACAAAACAGCGCCGAACATTGAACACAATCCAAGCCCATCAAAACTAAAGTGGTAAACATTTAGAGCAAACCATAATATTGGGAGCGCCACTAATTATAATTGAAATTAGTTGAAGCAAACGGAAAACAACCAGCAAAAAAAAAACAAAAAACAAAATAAAATATGAAAAACATACAAAATGTAAAGCAAAAAAAAAAACATAAACCAGAATGCAAACCCATCTAAGAACAAGAAACAAAAACAACCGGCAACCAGAAGCAAAAACAGAAGAACGGAATGGAGTAGTTCCATTTATTCGAAGAACAGTGTCAATAATATGTAAGAAAATCAAAAAAAAAAAAACAAAACACATTTTAACATTCATTTGAAGGAGGAGAAGAAGAAGAAGGATGGTTAACATAACGGTACAGATAAAGGTAAAGATAAAGCTAATGCTAAATAAAAGTAATGTTGTGTAATTCAGATTAAATACGAGTAAAACAAACAAACAAAAACTGCATAAAAAACATAAACACAAAACATAATAATATAAATTTAATGAGAACAAAAATGTGCGATTTAAAATTATTATTTATATGAGGATGAACTTATAAAGAATAGAAATATAGCAAGTAAATTTTATTAAATTAAAATTTATATATATATAAAACCAACAACAACAACAAAACATCAAAACAAAACCCCAGTGAACTTTTACTGAATTTTCTTTGAAATTCGCAACCTAGCGAAGGTCTTCTACACAATTTTCAGATGACAAAAACTAGGGCTCAAGTCGGAATTGTAGCACTTTGGAACATCCCCATGGGGGGTACTGAGTTTGGGTTCTCTAAAGCTTTGTTGGCATTTAACATTGTGCAATTTTATTTAAATATTAGCTCTACAGTTTCTGGAGAAGTTACATAGTTTTAGATGCGTGAACATATTCCGCTGTTGGGATGATAATTTCCTACAGTCGATTCGAATTTCGTTTCGCTCGCTTCTTGGACAGGGCTGTGGCGTTTCTCCATGCAACATCCAGGCCCGAACCGGTTCGTGCAACAAAGAAACAAAATTGTAATCACTTCATGGATAAAATAAAGAATTTTGTAAGACCGTGATGGGTTATGTGCCGTTCCGTGCGTGTTCTTACGTGAGTAGCAGTCCCATCTCTAGTGCTAGTTGCCGCATGACACATCCACACATCGTTGAATTCGCCGCAATAATCTCCGTGACATAAAGCATGTATGGTTTCCGGGAAAGTCCCCGATTATATGTTGCTTATCGTTGTTATGGCTTGTCGCGGCGGCAGTGAAGATAGTGGCTGTGAATGGTCAAAGGCAATATTTTGGCTACACAACCAGCTAACCACACTGCCAAAGCGCATAGCCAATTGAATTTTCTGGATTTGATTTGGTCAAAACTGATTTTCGAATTTCGTTCATTTGTGATGGTTGGTGGAACGACAGGGTATATGCAGGTATATTCAAAACATAAACACCGAACACATCTCTTTCCTCTCTCCTCGCACCCGCTGCGTTTCGGTGCGAAGCTTTTGCGGTACGCCATCTTTTGGCTGGTGTTGGTGTAGCTTGCGGTGAACTGTGCGGAACGGAACGGAACGGACCGGGCGGGCGGTTGCCGTTTCGGGGGATTTCCCTCTATGCTGGTGTTTATGCTACGTTGCGTGTTGAAAGCTCTCGCCTGGGCGTTCGTTCGCTGCAAAATAGGCAATATTAGCTTTTAGTTATCGAGCCGTTATGTGGAGGTTATGTTTGGAATACTATAGGGAGGGAGTTGGGGATGGTTTAAGCTACTTCCCCTCCATGCCGTGATCTATGGCCTCCCCAAAAGATCCCACTCGGCTTGACAGCTGTGGTAACTTTGGATAATGGACTAAATATATATTTCAAGTTGATTGCCACATGCCATGGGGTTATTATGTTAATTACGGCTAGCTGCTCCAATTATAGTCGGTGTATTCAAGGTCATCGAAAGCGTGTCATAGTTCAAGCCACTTGAAGATGAAGGCTATGTGTGGAGCCATCTCAGTAGATGATTCGCTGTTGGAAAGTACCCTTGAGTGAAATAAAACCACAAATCATATAGGAGTACGATTCTTCATAGAAGACAATTCGCTTTTATTTCATTTATTTATTGAATATAAAAATCTCTTACAATTATGTGTGTAAATCTTAGAGTAACTTATTTAGTTGTTTAGTTGTAGTTGTAAATTATAAATCAGTTTGAGAAATTGTATCACACTAGCACAAAAATTGCATATTTCATTTAGTTATTCGCATATTTGTCTTGCATTCGGGAAGATTGTACGTTCTGGAATGTCGTACCAGATAGTGCATTTACAAGCTTCAGAATGTTTCAGTGCAAATGCACTCCTGACACGCAACCCAAAACCTTCAAAGGATGCTCAGTTAATCGTTTATCGTTGTCGCATATATCGGTTTATCGTTTAATCGTTTCTTTTTCAGCCCGTCGCGGTCGCGTAGGCAGTCTGGGCGTGGGCGTGGCAGCGACTCTGGCAGTCAGTGGATTTTCCTGCGGCTGTTACTGGATTTGGCAGAACAGAAACAAAAAAAAGAAGGGATACGAGGGAACACGAACTAACAGAAAAATCAAACAAAACCGAAACTCATGCAGAATAAAGCTGAACATGTGGGGCGAGAGAAGGTGCAATGAACCACCAGCGATTTGTGTGCGCGATCCGATCCAACGGAAACACCCATGTCAGCCCCCATCGAAAAATGAGTGATAAGCAATCGCAGGTGCCAAGGTGCGGAGCCGATAAGGCCCACCCGTTGCTGGTGGAAAGTGGGTCGATGCGGATCGCTGATTGCCGATCGGTGATCGGTTATACAAGTCATTTGTATGTCACAAAAAATGTCGCTTGCTCCCACTAAGTATGCTCTCGGGGGCCCATCAGTCACCGGTTAAATCCATGCGGAAACTGACAAAGTAAAACATGAATTGCTCCCCCGCCCTGACCAGGAGATAAGATAGGAAAGACGATTATAAGGTGATAAATGTACAATGTGGGGGGTGGGGGGGGGGGGGGGGGGGGGGGACTCCCACAGCATTTATGATCCCCTGCCCATCCGAACAGTTCCAAATGTTATTTGGAGCAAAGATTCGTTGTTTGTATTCTGCCAAAGGCAGCCTTCGATCTCGACTTGCATGGCTGCTTTTTACTCGACTCTCGGGGTGCGGCAAAATAAATCCAAAACGAGGCCAAACATTGAGCAGGCATTGGGCTCAAATTAACAAAAAAAAAATAAGAAACGACACGGAAAGCGAACCAAACACCAAGAAAAAGAAAAGCAGCAAATTAAAAAAACAAAATCCATATTTGTGGGACGGAAAAAGTAACAGAATTTTAGCAATTTATAAAAAAAACAACACACGCCGCGTACACGTGATGCGTCATCTGTGGCAACGAAGGGTATGGATGCCACATACGACTAAAGTTTTGGAAAGACGACTGACAGCCAATGAAAAGTTTCTGCTTATAAAAATTCATAATACGAGTATGTGTAAACCATTCAGTGTTGTTGTTTTTTTTAATCGCGTGCCAGCAAACCGAGTGCTTGAGTGTCTCTGTGTGTGCCTGTGTGTGTTCTAATTTCGAAAGAACAAGAGCTCGGTCAATTAAATAAATTATTGTTCATTACAGTCGCTCTGTGTGCGTGTGGCAGTGCGTGTGAGTGCTTAGGTGTGTGTTTATGGGGCGTATCGATAAATGAAAAGCTGGCTCGCTCATGAGCTTAAAAAGCAACGAAATGCGGTTTGGTTTTTGGTTTCTATGCCACGAAAAAAAATTTCTAAAATGCCCCAAAACATCAGTAGTACTCCACCCCTAGCCCCCTCCCTACCACTTTTCTCCCCTCTTTATGGCGCACTTAGTGGCTCAGTTATAATTTCATTAGGCAAATGCTGAGCATTTTTCATTAGCACTTTATGAAGCACCGACCCGTGCCCCTCCCCCCACAAACAACAACACGTTTACTTCCACTATCTGGGTCATCAAAGCTGCCACTGCCAACAAAGTTTCGGAGAAGTGTTGTCGTCACCGGAAGTGGCCCATAACGCTACTTAGATAAATTACAGTTTGACTTGGCCAAAAAAGTATTTGCAAATGCAAACATACACTCGAAGAGGTGGAAAATGGATTTTGGGGGTAAAGAAACAGCAACAGAAACAGAAGCAGAATATACCCAAACACCTAAGCTCCTCTCTCTCTCTCTCTCTCCAACAAACTACAAATACACTCAATGAAAAGTGTTCATTAGAAAGAACGTGTTTCCTTCTCGTTAACCAATTTGGTAGGTCGCATGATCGGCGCGGCCGAGTCACAAAACACGCACGCGGACTCTGGCAGTCGTATTATCTGCTAAACAGACACACACATACCCACACAAATCCACAATACATATAGTAGGTATATAAATACATATGTAGAAGCCAACGCACGCGCGCACACACAATCATCTGAGAGAAGAAACGCATAACGCTTGGAGAACGCTGCGTATACGTAATACCAATTGCGGAATGTTTGCTATTCCAGACGTGCTTTATCTGCAGACAGGCCAGACCCGACCAGACCAGACGGGGAGACAGACAAAAGCATAGAATGGCAACCCTTGTGCTGTCTGTCTGACGGGCAAAATATTTTAAAAATTTTATGAATGATTTTTCGGTTATTTCAAGTGAGCGCGGGCTCTCGCGTAGCAACACCCGTCCAGCCACAGCGATATGGAAGTAGAAAGAAGAAATTCCATGTATTCCAATGTACGAGTATTCCAGCAGCATTTGCCACTGCGGCGTTTATAAATAACAACAATTGACGCAGCTAACTAATGACGACTGTTGTGGCAGCAAAAGGCGGTATTTTTCGGCTGTTTTTATGGGAATTTTGTCTAAAATTAAAGACAACAGCCAAAAAAAAACTGAGTCATGCGCCAAAGGCGTGATAGCTAATGAGAATATATTTTTGAAAGAGCGAAAGATTAAGAGAAGCAGGGTCTGATATAGATGGAAAGGAAAGACCTACGAAAGGCAGGGGAAAATGTAATGAATGAACTCGTCAACGCCCTGGCACACTTAAATCTTTAATGTTCTGCCTCTAACTTTTAACTTTAACTCTTGTTTGGCTAAGAACAACAAAAGTGCCTTCGACTAGGACGACTAAAAACCCATCGACAAAACCTGATATCAAAGACTGTGTGTGTGCGTGTGTGTGTGTGTGTGTCTGTGAAGATTTGTTGGCAGGCTCAGGTTGACCCAAATCGGTAAAGGCCTTAAGCAAAGTCTATCGTATCGTATCGTATCGTGTCGTTTGCCTTCTTGGTGATGTAATAAGTGGCAAAGCGAAGTGACACACAAGTGTGCATTCAATGTGCCACAGAAAGAGGGGGGCCGAGGGCAGGAGTAGGCGGAAGCCGATGGGTCAGAGGTGGGCAATAGATGAGTTATGCAGTTGGCCATAAATTTGTCATTTCGAGTGCATTTTGGTCATATTTATAGAGCACTTCAAGACTTCGTTTTACGGGGCAGCAAACTAATAAATGTCAGAGCTCTCTGGCAAACACATATATATAGATATAGATAGATAGATAGATGCTCTTGTTCTTGTTCTTTCCACTTCGCATGGCAACATTTCACTTTTCATTTTACCCTGCAGTGCAACCCCCTTTCATCCCTTGCAAAATGTGCATTGCAATATTGGCCCAGTGCCAAAAAGAATCTTTATTTTTGGCTCCTTGGCTAAGCTCGCGAACTGCAGCCAGGCAGTGCCTATGTATCCGATAGATACTTATAGTCGTACACTCTTGGGCCATGCCAAAGTTATCTAGGTTGGCTATACTATATATACAATACAGTTATGCGCTGCTGCACTGACGGCCCGACCAAAAATCAATAGCCAGGCGGCCGCAAGGCCCGAAGCGGCCCATCCAGCTGTAATTATTGGAGGTGCCAAAAAACACATTTCAAACTAATCAAACTGCAGCCGAGGCTGAGGATGGGAATTCCCTTCCCCCACCCTACCCCCCTTGGGGGAATCTGGGTCGTAACACTGACCCACTTCCTTCTTTACATAACTGCTGTGCTGTGAAGGACGAAGGGGCGGTCGCGTTGCAGGAGGCCGAGATTGACCTCCATTTGGTATAGTTTTGCAGGCTGCTGCAATGGAATCTCCTCCACATATGACCTTGCGGCCCGGGCTGAAGGTCGCCTTTTGCCAGCAAACTTTCGAAACAAAAGACATCCAAAGAGCCTGAATGTATATTTAAACACTTGAAAACTTTCGAATGCTGGGACCCCAAACGAACCTACCGAAACACGTGATTCATTCAGACTGCTAGACTGGACTTATCAGCAAAACAACTAAATACTCTCGTACGTCTCGAACAACTCAGAGATTATTCAAGCAGCTTCCAAATAAACGCTGACTAACATATGTACATGGTACATATATGTATACTTTGTGGTAGGAGGTATATAGCTAACGATCCATCACTAAGTGACGCCGGCAATGATGTCATAACGATATCTGCTCATGACAGTCGACGTGTTTTGGGATGGTCTCTGTCTGTGGCTGTCTACGGCTGATATCAGTTAAAGTTCAAATTCCAAATGCAAATTTAGCTGAATCTACATATAAAATATACGTTTGAGCTCCTGGGCCAAGTTCTGTGTTCTATAATTTAAACAAAAAGAGCGGACTACAAAGTCCAATGGCATATACCTATCAAATTTGATATGCTAAATATACACATATTTGAGTGAAATGTTTTCGTTTTGTTTGGAACACACTTTTACGCAGATTTCTCTTGTATCAAAGTTGTTTTTCTATGGGTTTTTTAGCTTGAAGTTGAAGGCCTTCAAACTGGTTTTGTGTGCCCCTCTTGGGCCTCAAATCAATCAGCGGTCCATGAATCATGTTATATATGTCAGATAGTGTATTATTTAGGATAATATCTGAATCAGCCTGGGCTGTGACATTATCTGTTCGATATATGTTTGTGTGTTTGCTGCTCTGTGCTCTGTTTTCTGTGTCAAATGCATTTTTCAGTCATCCGCCCCCCACACACCCCACATATCAGAGTGAGTGTGTGTTGCCTCTATATATACACACGTATGTGTGTGAAAAGCCAACAAAAATCGACCTCATGGCGGAGGCATTGCAGTTATTTCATCACCCACACAGATACACACCCACACAGTGGCACAGTCTCCCCTAGTGTGTGTGTGTGTGGGGCCTTATATAAAAGTCTGCTCTGTTCTGTTCTATTCTGTTCGTTATTTTTACACGAAAATATTGCAATTGGCTGTTACCTCTACACATGCTTGAATTGTATCTATGCGATACACAAATATCTGTATATATTTTGTTTGTATTGCAAAAACCGTGCAAGGTCAAGTGATTACGTGTGTGTGTGTTTGTGTGGGGATTGTTTTTGTTGCTTTGAATCTCTCAAATTGCAAGTGCTGCTCGTCTTTGCTGTCTCTCTCTTTCTGCCATACTAAAATTGTTAGTTTATCGCCTGTATGTATTTCTGTTGTGCCTTTCATGTGGTGCCGCCGCTTGCCAAAGCTGGGCTTTAATTGAGCCAAGATTCCGCTTCACTTGGGGAATTAAATCCGATTTTTTTTGTGCAATTAACTTCAGGTGTACTCTGTCGTCGTCTCTCTCTCTCCCCCCTCCCCACTGTGACCCTGTAACCCTTTCTCTGCCAACCCAGTGCCTGACATTGTTTGAGCTAAATGTTGCCTGCATCTTATATAAGATTCGAATGGATATGCCACCAAAAAGGAAAATTTGGGTTACAAGCAAGTGCAGAAAAACTAAATTTAAAACATTCAGCAAGCGAGAAGAGGGCAACACTACGTGCGGTGTGAAAGAGAGGGAAGGCCGCCCCGCACAGTGGCCGCTGATTGTTTTAAACAAATTGCCAGGCCTGACGCCGAACACTATAGTGTGTGTTTGAGAGATATTTGTATCTGTATCTGTATCTGTATCTGTATCTGTTACGGAGTGTGTGGGTCCCGTAAAATTGTTCACATTGCATTGGCATTGTTTCGTACCGTGGCAATTACAGGGTGTCTCTCCAACAACTGTGTTGTTGTTGTTGTTGCTGTTGTTGCAGTTGCCAGTGTGCAATTGCATAATCCCCAGGGAAGTACTAAAACAACAAATTATAATGCAATTGCAGTGCAGATGTGCCGTGCCGTTGCTTTACGAATTGAACTGAAATAATGTTACGTATACGAAGGCCCAAATGTTGCTGTTGTTTATGCAATCCCATGCAATCCACAACGAGGGAAACAAACACAATGAAAACACTTGCGGGGAAAACTCAAAACGAAAACTGTGGCTGGACTGGACTGGACTGGGGGAAACAAAACAGCTGTGGGAGCCACTGGAGCCGCCACTGCCTCGAAATCCGTGCTCGAATCCGGCAAATCCGCAACGAAATCCACAACTGACTGTCGGATGCCTCTGTCCTACGTACGTCCACACCTGCCGCTGGCCACCTGCGCCTCAGTTGGACGCCTCCTGCCCGTGTGTGGCCGACTCGATGGGGAAATGAACACTGACGCTGACCGGGTGCAGGCAAGCAGCCGACAGCGGCCGCAGCCAGCGGCTGGCCTCACATCGTCAGCGTCAGCGGCAGCGGCAGAGAAGGCGACGGCGACGACGCCAGCGTCGACTGCAGCAGCGACTGCAGCGTGTTTTTGGCGTTTCGTTGCAAAGGAAAACTGTTACAATTTTAGGCCGATTTTCTTTTAGCCGAACGTTGCAGCGCGACGCGAACCGACAATGCTTTCCGTTTTGATGGCCACGCGGACGTGAATGAAAGAAACTTGCAGTTTGTGTGTGTGTGTGTGTGTGTGTGTGTGTGTGGCCGACCAAAGACGCTCTAAGGTGAAATATACTAAATGCAGGGCGGAATTTATTTCTGTACGGTCTTCTCTCGCTGCAACGCATGCAAATGCAGCAGCTGCCACAACAGCAACACACACAGGCAAATGGACAAGAACACGCACACACGAACACACGTACACGAACACGCACACTTGTCGGCAAACTTTTCATTTCGTTTCGCGTTTCGTTTCGAAAAACTAAAAAGTCAAACTACTTGGTCTAATGCTGAAGCTCAACTGTCAGCTGCTCGGTTCGGTTCCGTTCGAAAGCTAACACTCGGCGACACGACACGACACGCAAAGATAGGGAGAGAGCGTGCTTTTGGTGGCAAAGCTTTTGTCACTGCACTCACTCACTCACTCACCCTGGCGCTGTCTCTCTTTTTATCTATCGCTCTCGCACAAGCTCCGAGTGGGCCTGTGCCTGTGCCTGCATCTCCCTCACACCTACGAGTATCTCTCATGTCGCAGTTGCAGCTTGCATTGGGCGTTAATGTTCAAGGTCTCGGTGTGTATGTATGTATTTCTCTCTCTCTCTCTGTTTGTGCATGTCACAGTTTTGTATTTTTTTCCGTGAGAGCCCCCCAATTATGCGAAATTATCGATCAAATTTTGCTCTAAGGTCAACCTTAAATTGAAAATTCAGTTTTCCACCGCGATTATTTTGTTTGAGGCCAGGCCAGCCCGACACAGCTAGTATCGCAATTGTTAATCTTGTCATGCATCATGCATGGCCCGAAGCCTTTCGTGTGATTAGTGTCCCCCTCCCTGCCCCGTTCTCCCGTTTCCCCTGTTACTGTTATAATTTCGACACAAATTTAATCTGACACATTTGTGTGTTAAATGATTTAAGGCGACCCAACGCGGGGACCGCTAAAAATACCCAATAGAATTATAGATACAATTTTACAAAATAAGCGACTTGAAAAGTAGGTTTTCCAACGAATAGAGAACCCAAATACAAGTAACCTCTGTTCCAAGAATCTTTAAAAAAGAAGAGTCTCTGCTAACTGGGGGGATCTTCTTCTTAAAAAATCCCTTTTTTTGTTCTTATAAAGATGTGCAGATGTTTGCCAGATAGTACAGCCTCTGTATGATATACCAATCTAACCCTGGACTTCAATCGTTAGCGTAGAGTAAGAGTATAAAATAAATATAGTATCTATAAAAGAGTTTCAATCTCCCAACCACAAATGAATAAATAATATGCTAACCTTTGGTTCTTTCATGGGATATTGATTTTATCTGGTTCTCTCACGTTTCTAAGAACAGCAGCTAGCTTTAACTTTTAGCTGGAACTTGTTACCTACATATTTCATGCGATTGCGTAAGTTATAGTTTTTTATTGAATTTGATGGCATTATTTTATACGCGAATGAACAGCGTAATTCATCATAGACTTGTCATGAGGTCATCCATCGGCTGGAACAGCCACGGAACTGCGTCGAATAGAATGCACACAAGTCGATGGGTGACAATCGTTTGATTTTCCATCTCTTTTTAGTGGTGTCGAAAAAAAAAGGACACATTGCAATGACAAAACCCAAAGCGGTTGCATAACGTGAAAAAGAAAAGAAATTTTATTTGTACTTTTGTACAAAGAAGAAACGTGTTCGAGCAGAAAGAAAATCAATTTCGTTTTCCTTGACCTCATGGGGTCCCAGCCAGAGGTGGGGACGGACAGAGACAGAGCGATGGGAGAGCGATACTAGAGGGAGAGTGTCGACAAAGGATAATTGACGGTCATTTGAAATGCAAAGCGACAAAAGTGGCTGCAACAAATGTCGAAATAATGTCACCAGAGCATGCCTTTGCCTTGGGCACTGCCAGAGCCAGAGCCCAGAACCCACTCGTGGATGGCCAATTCACACCGTGGCACCCACCCCTCACCCCTCACCCCTCACCCCACACCCCTCAATCCGAAGATTGTCAGTGAGCCAAAAAGGCAAAGCGAAACGAAAATAGAAAATGCCAAACCAAATGGTTTTCATTTTGCAGCATTTGTTGCAGCCACGCCAGGCGATTGGATTGGGAGAAAATCCGTGGCAGCGGGGGATGGGGGATGGTAGGGGGGAATAGAGAGATAAATATAAATAACAAACCAAATCAATTTGCAGCATGAAAATCCTTTTAATTGTTTCTGCCAGAGATTTCGCTGCTTTGTAAATTTCACTCATTACTACGGACGGGTTGCTGTTCGGTGTGTTGTGTGGCATAATTAATGTTTTCAGGCGTTTTCAGAGCGTTGCGTTGCATGTCCGCACCCCCACCTCCCCCCGCCTGATGGATGGATGAGCGCTGCAAGTTTCTGTGTGCAGGGCGAGGGGGTATAAGAGGGGGAAAAGCAGTCAAATCAAATGTAAATGTAAATCAAATTCGAAACGAAATGAAATATTTTGAATGGATATCAAGAAAATGCTGAATAGAATCATATGCAATTTTTGTTTTCTCTCACTGATTATTTTCTAAAACGATGCTTAAACTCTTAAGATTATTTTACTCAAATTCCAATTTATCTTTTGTTTGTTTTTCTTTAAGCGGGATTTTTTTTAAATGAATCCAACTGAAGCTTATGGCTAAGGAAATTTTCATTTTTAGTATGGCAAAATCAAAGTTTGTAAAAGTAAAAGAACTGATAAACTGTTGATAAATTGGACTTGCGAAACGATATGTTATTTCAACACAAAAATAAAAGAAAGAATAAACGGAATGTTCAACAGTGGCATGACTCACCCTGTAATTGTTGTTGTTCTCGTTGCTGTTGTTGTTGCTGATGTTGCATTGTTGCAGAACGGCCATTGGATACCACCAGCTGTGTTCACTTGCTTGCACCATATTCAAAGCGAGCACAGGGTGTATCCCAACGGCAGTTGCACAGAGACACGAGACACGGAAGAGCTTTCAGCTGAAAGCTCAGCGCGGACACAAACTATTTCGCTCGCCCGCTCGCTCGCTCCTCCCTCTCGATGTATGTGGCTGCAGTCCAAGCTGTTTCGGGCACTTCCTATACTAAAATACTTTATGCATTTCCAATAAATGCCATTGCATTGAATTTCACCATTTCTAGCTGATCTTCATCTGGAAATTATATTTCACAATATTTTGAAACTAAAACTTGGGACTTTCGAGCCCATTTAGGGGAATAAAAATGCATATAATCCCTTAGCACCCTATTGATGAATTGTAATTAAAAATATCTGCAAGCTCACCAAAAATATGCAAATTAATCGATACACGACCTCTAAACACTCCATGTTATATTTATTCCTTATGCATTTATTTATTATGTATATTTTTTGCATTCTTTCCATCGGTCGACCACTGTTTTGGTCCGTTTCGGACCTATTCCGTGCGCTCGGGCCCAACAGCTGCCAGCCGACTTGTGGGATGTTCTATATATGTACCGATTGTATATGTGCCAGTGGATGTGTGTGTGTTTGTGTAGCTTGTGTATGAGCTGCCTACGCAGATTGCTGCACGGGCGTGGAAAGGTCAAGGCTCAAGAATACCAAACAATCCAGGATATATGTACGTAAGTTGCATATTCCAAAAGAGAGAACTGCAAGGCAAAGGGTCTCCCTGTCTCTTTCTGTGGGTGCGTGTTCTGCTTGCATGTGTGGGTGCCCTTTCCCTGTAAAACTCAACTGCTTAATTATTGAAATCTAATTGCCATATGCTTGCCACCAAAACGTGCGTCACACGGATTTTATGCTCACACTCCCACCTCCCGCCTCCCACACACAACTACACGCGCCACACGGGGCGCATTGCTGGTGGTGTTTATTCTCAGGCTTCGCTAATCAATTTTCCACACCTGATTCAGGTATTTTGGGCGACGCGCCTTTAAAATGAACTTGGACACGGTCACACTCACTCGAACAAAAGGGCGCACTGGGCGCATACTTAATCTCGGAACTGTGGCTGACCTCATCGGAGGCATGCCCGTCACTGAATGGTATGCCCGTTCCCGTGCGCCAGCAAGGAATCCACTCGGCCAGCATCCGGAAGCTGCAGCCTGAATGCCTGTGGGGGCGAGCTGGGTGTGGGCGTGGGCTCGCACAGGTGTACTGTTTTGGTCACCAGCCGTCGTATCCCGAAAGTATGCAACAGTATTCGACAGTCGGGCGGCAGTGGCAGCAGTTGGAGGCCAAGAGCAGCAGTAAAAAGCAAACAGTTGGCTGCCGTCGACAGCGATGCCGACGCCGACGCTGACTGCGGAGCAGCGCGCTGTGTCGTTAAGTCGCCCACGCAAAAGCTGTGCAGAGCCAAAGCTCCAGCCAGCTCTCTCCCTTTATCTCTCTCTCTCGCTCAGCTGGTGGCTTGCTTTCATTTGTTTTTGTTGAACTTAATCAATTACAATCACATACATACATACCTGCTCTGCTCTGCTCTGCTCTGCTCGCTCTCTCACTCTGGCTGCTTCTCCCTCTCTCGGTTTGCCGGTTTTCAAGTTCAAGTTTCTCAGAGAGTGCGCATGACTGCGCCATATTTGTTTGTCCGCTCGCGCTCTCCCTCTCTCACACACACACACACACATACTCGCACGAGCAAAGCCCAGTTGCAGTGTGGGTCCGTGGTGCACTTCGATTGTTTTCTCGTCGCTTGCTTTTTGCTGTCGTCATGCAAAAATCAACAAAATTTGTTTCTTGTGCTCCTCCGCCCTCTACTCCCAGTGTGGCGTCCCGCTTGCGGGAATGCTGATTGAGCCTGGCCCCTGTCTCCGCTCAGCTGCACTGAACTGTCGCTAATTAAATTTCCATGCTGACGCAGTGCCGCGAACTAAAAATAAATAAAGGGATTTTTGTTGAGCATCAGAAGCAGGCCAACATTATCGATTGCCAGGAGCTGGCTATTTACAAAAAAATATCTTTTAATTTTGTATGGTGGCGTAGATTAAAGGAATATTTCGATAAGAAAATATTTATGGCTCAGAAATGGGATGGGAAAATCATTAAACAGCTGACTCCGATTCTTGATTAACTTCCTCACCCTTCTTTAAACAAAGTTAACGAAAAGAAACTCTCGATTCCATTACCACCACAGAACTAGACGTCACGTAGGTCATTCATAGTTTTATAGGCTTTATAGGCATGTAATATAGTATATGGTAGGTAGAAATATACGTGAAGTAGATAATCCTATATTTCATGCTTCCCAACTCTCACTCTCCCTTTCCACCCATAAACAAACAAAAGATAAACATCTTAAAAATAATAGAAAAATGAAAAGAAAAGAATATTTAACTCCAAAAAATATTTACTGTAGCTATTACACAACTTGGACCTGCCTTTCGAAAAACCAATGCTTTTTGCTCTGTTCTATGTCCCATTCCTACTTATACAAACTTTGACCCCATTTTGTCACAGTTTCGTAAATCCAATATTTTTAAATAAAACTCGTGTACATACATCATCAGCACCTAGCATCAGCTATCGATTGGGCTCCGCGTGGATCTATAGGTGCCACAGAGTGCCACATTAACTATAATCCGATCGCGATGAATGGTAATGCATTGTTAGATATTCAATCGAGAAAAACCAGTGATTTATGTAGCCACCATTTTATTAATGAGGTTCCGCATTGATGCTGATTACTTCGCCTCGAAAATCAATTTAATGTCACTCTGTGAGAACTCTGGAAAACAGTCAACAGATAGAGCTAGAAATATGAATACTTCACCGAAAACACTCGGCAGAGTGGCAGTAATTGTGGTCTTAATCCTTATTGTACAAAACACACAGGGCCTGTTCAAGGCGACCAACATCAAGTGCCAATGCTATGACAAAACATTTTGTGAGTTTACGCAGTGCGAATTGAAGGTAGTTGGACGTGGCCTGGTGGCCATCAACATATACGTTAAGATCCATCAACTGCCAGTGAAGAAAGTCCTGGTGAGTGAAGCAATAGAGAAAACGAGAAGCAAACTATAATTGGAGCTCATAATTCTAGGTTAACGCAAGTCTTTTTCGGAGATTCAATGGCTTCCGGCCATTTCTTTACAATATTACTGTGGACTTTTGTGAGTTTATGCGGCACTCGAAACGCTATCCCTGGTTTGCCATAGCTCATGGCCAAATTTCGGGCTTCTCTAATCTGAATCATACCTGCCCCTACAATGTGAGTAAAGAACTTCAATGAATACCCCTAATTAATTTTTATTTGCTGTCAGAATGATATTATTGTCTCGAATATGGTACTGAATGATGCCATGCTGGAGAAGACGCCCTTCCCCACCGGATCCTACATGCTTCAGCTGACTGTCGGCAGTCCCGTGTGGCGTGGCATAACCCAAGTTATGGTCGATATTGTAGAGGTCTAGGGAGCAAAGCGATTGTTTGATTGATGTTGTAATGCTATAATTGTGTTTAGATTGAAACTACTCACTGGCAGATATATTTGTAGTGAATCACCCTAGTGAATAAATCAGCGTGAAAATCGCATTTCATTTTCTAGTATTTTTGCATGAAATTCACCCGCTCCCAAGGTCTTATCGAGTGCATTGCATTGCACACGGTCGCCGTTCGGGTCGTTGAGACTAGTGCAACGAACTCGGAACTAGTATGAACAAAAATGCGGGGGGCAATGAGTTAAATGTGTTATGTGGCCATAAAACATGGCCAGCACTTGGCAGTGGAAAATTTCTACGTACACCATAATATAAATCCAAAATAGAACAGAATATTACACATTTTTACTGAAATACTCCTAAGATGTGGCTATCTTTTTCTATTATAATTATTACAGTACAGAAATCGGAAGCTATATAAGAAATAAAAGCATTTCTATTATGAAATAAATTTAGAATAATACTTTTTAACAGATTTAATATTTATGGGACATGTAGGTTGTTCTTGAAACCCTTTAAAGAATTACATACGCATATATTTTACTATTCATGTGCCATCGATTTTCGGATTTCTTGTTTGGCTTGGTGGTGAGGGGTTCGGGACCAGTTGTGGGGTGATCCATGTTTTTATCTGCTGTTTCCATTAACTTTGGAGCAAGGAGCGGATTAATTAAATGGCCCACAGAAATTCTCGTTTTGCTTTGGCAGGTAGTTGGACTGGTCAGCGTGGGGTGGGGGTGTGTGAGGGGGTACGTACCCACACGGGAACGATTGCAGTCGCCACTCAGCGTAATCATCAACATCAATTCAATTAAAGCTCGTCGCTCGTATGTATGTATATGTACAGATAGATAGATATGTGTGCATGTGTGGGTCTCTGTGTGAGCGAAAGATAATAAAACTGAAAGGCAAAACAAAACGCATAGAGCAATAAGTGCGAATAAGTGTGGCAAAGCGTGTGGTGCAAGAACGTTTTTGTGTGCTTTTATCTGCCTGCCAGAGCGAGATAGCCATAGCAGAGAGGCCCTCTCCACATTCTTTGTGCAATGTTTGCCCGGCACCCCCTCCCCTCCCGCTCGCCCCTCAGCCCATCCGACTGTTTTCATTTGATGTTTGACGCGGTCTCGTTTTGGTTTTTGCTTTTGCTTTTGGCTTTGCCTCTGTTTTTGCTTCCTCTTTGTTTGACGGTGGCGGCTCGGCTGTTTCGGCTGGCTTCTCGCAACGAAACGAAACGAAAACGTGAGGCCATCTCGCTCTCGCAAAGAAACGTGCCAAACTGGTTTCCCACACACACACTCACACACATGCAGGTACAGCACAGCACTATGGCAGCTATGTATGACCATCTCGCTCTCTCTTTCGCTCTTTCGCGTTGTGCAAGAGGCTGGCCTGGCCGGTCGGTCGGTCGGTCTGTATGTACAACTAGTATCTTAACCTTGAACTTGAAACACAGATACACAGACACAGAGGCAGGCACACACACACAGACACACTCACACAGATACGGCAGAGAGCGCACGACGAAGCCGACACACTGAAAGCACGCGATGCGATGCGATACGATGCTTACGCCGACTGCGACAGACCGAAAGAGCTTTTATTTTTGCCATTTGCGTTTGTCTGTTCTCTCTATCTCTATCTCTATCTCTATCTCGCTCTCAATACCGCCGATACCTTTACTGACATTTTGGGAAGTGCAGCTTACGCGATGCATACGTAATAGAACGAACACCTGGGCGGACTCTAACCTTATTTATAGACCGCCACCCAACCATCCCATACACACACACACACACACACACACTCAAAGATGACGCCACTCTCGGTAATTAAAGCGTTAGTTTTCCATGAAGATGACTTTTCCTAGCCCAACCCCGTTCTCCAGCTTCCGTAATGAGTATTCTCATTCTCTCGATGTGTGGGGGTTCTGTGAAGATGGGGCGAAACTTACGTAAACGAATTTCGAAATCCCACTCACACAGCCACAGCGCAAATAACCTCTGAAAGGGTATATATTATTGTTTTCTTTTGTATCTAAGCCCTGCGGTCTGCCAGGTATGGCTAGGAGCTGCATTACATTGCAATACTTTGTGGTATGCATTTTTGAGTGAATTGTAGTGTAGAATTTCACGGAATTGTTTACCGCATTCAGCTGATCGTGTGCTCGCAGATAATACACATTCAAAGATGCATATGCATACACACACACACGCTCCGTCATGCATATTCATTTACATCTGTGTGTGAGCATGAATATTGCGGCTTTGATCTTCCCTCTGACACGTGAGGCAATGGGAAATTAACGGCCCGAGTGGTCGTAAAGCTCTAAAATTGACAACGGTTCTATGAATAAGCAAAGATTCATATGCATAACTGAATGAATATCTCATAAGCTGACGAAATAAATTGGTAAATAGATCGACAGATAGATGAATCCATTGATTGATATAATCAATGCATTGGAACTTTAAAGTCTCTTAAATGTACATAGATGAGAGCTTGTAGATTTATTGATGATATTTTTGCATTTATCGAATGTTCCATTTCCATTAAATGCCATTAGTCCTAAGTGTCGCTCTTGATATTTCCACTGAAATTTCGAGTGGAGTGGAGTGGAGTGAGTGATGGAGTGTGTAGAACGTCTAATAAACAAGTTGAAAAAACTGCCAAACTTAATGGCAACACACACACACACACACACACAGACACATCATTCGAATTTCGCGCAAAGTTCCTGAGAATCAGAATTCCCTTTTGCCAAATTCCAAATGTACTTTTTTTTTTTGTTTTGTTTTGAAGTAAACGGAACTGTTTATAAGCTTTTTTCGCGATTTCTTTTGCTTGTTTCTTGTTGGTTTTTTTTCTTCTTTATTTTTCTTAATTCTTAATTCGTGTGTTGTTTATGTTATAAATAAAAGTTGATATTTCTGCAAATTCCGGTGCAAAAAAAAAAAAAAACACAAAAGATTGGGAGAAAACTGGCCTGAGCCATATTGTGGGTGGGGGGAGTGTCAGTGTGTGTATGTGTGCTTGCCAACTTTGCTCTTCGCAATTGTTGACTGTATTTTCCGCAATCAAAACAACATTTTTCGTGATGGTTGAGCCGGGGAGGCGAGGGAACGGAACGGAACGTTCGATGACGCCGTCGAAAAAATGTTAACTACGACGCAATTTCGTTTACTCACATTTCTCTCAGTTACTCTCCGGTTGGTTCCGCTCCTGCTTTTATGTCTTTTTTTTCTTTGTCAAACACTTTGTTTTCAGTTAACTGGGGGGTTGTATTCTACTGTGTTCCTTCAGGATATTGATGCGTCACAGAAAAAACACACGGAACGCGTAGTATTATTTAATGTACTATCATGGAGGGTCGTGTGTTTGTGGGCCTGCGATCGGTTGAAGGTGCCGCTGCAATGTCTGTCAGGCCGCATGGAAAGTTCTCGCGCTGTTCTGTCCGTTCTCTGCTGCGAGCGCAGTCGCTAACGGCGCGCCGGCAGAGTTTCTTTTCTATCTTTCTAGTTTGGCTTTTGAGCGCCGCTCTCTCGCTCTCTCTCTCTGTCTCTCTTTTCGACGCTGCTTCAGTTTCGTCAAGTTTTTTTTCACATTTTCCTGTTCCTGATTCTTTGATTTTGCTCTGGCTTTGCTGTATCCCGCTGTTCCTGTTGCTGTTTCGCTTTTGCTTGCCACCTTTTGGGTTGCCCTACTGCCCCACACACCGATGTTGCCTACACTCAAACCACATGACGACGCTCGGCCTGATGGCCTTCAATTGGCTCTCTTTCCCTCTCTGCCTTGCTCTCTGTCTCTCTTTCTCTGTATTGCTGTTGCTTCCTCTACCATTCTTTCATTCATTATTCTCCGCGTTCTTTTTTTGCCTCATGCCTGCCTCTGTATACGTTGCACATTTGTTTCTGCCTTTTTTTTTCTTGACGAAAATGAGTTCTCTTCTCTCCTTTTCTATAGCCTCTCTCCTATCCCTTTCTGGCAAATGAAATACATGTAGCTGCAAACTTTTATCTTTGCGTTTACGTGTGGGTGTGTGATGACTTTTGCTTTTCCCGAATTCCTGTTTTTGTTGCGCCGAAACAAAACAAAATTTCACAAAACATGTGAGATCCGACCAGAGCAGGATCCTGGCAGGAAAAAAGCACGTTCTGACTAGATCAAGGTACTAGAGGGTTTCGCCATATCACTCTGAGAGATACGATTTATCTACGTTTCTTAAACCCTAACCAGACGAAAACTCAAAGGAAAACGAAGACGCAGTAAAGGGACTGCTTTCCCAGTCCTGTTCCTTTACTCGTACATATTTACGTATTTATTTTTGCAGTCACGTGTGTGCTTCGATATATGTATGTGCATACAGATATAAAAATGTACTTCTCATATGCTATAAAATTATCGCATGTTATGTTCTAATCTGCGTTCAGAAATATGCAAATTCAAGTGAAGGGAATTCCCAAAACAAACTTTAATTTCCAATGAATTTATGTAGATAACAATAGGATTTTGGCGTATTTATATTTTCTAGATTTTTCTATATGTGTGTCTAAGGCTTACCTTTGATCAGCAGATGCAATGGTAGTTACCCCCCATTCCATTCCGCTTTGATGATGCAATTTTTTGTTCCCTTTCCATTTAATTTTTCACTGACATTTCCCTTATTTGTACAAGTATTTCGTATCTTTGTTGTTGTTTCTTTCTTTATATAACCAGAACTCACATGTTTTGGGGCACGTAATCAACATGGTTGG